CCATTCTATTTCTATTTATATTTAACAAAAAAAAATACTTTATATTTCATTCTTATTAAAATTTTTTTAGTAATTAAAAACAAAAATATTATCATCAAAATCGAATTAATAAAGATTTACTTTTTAACAACTAAATACTCTGTAAAATTCTTTATTTTAAGAAGATTGAAATTTTTTCTTAATTCAAAATTATTTTTGATTCCACAATTTTCAGATCATCTTCTAAATTAATAAAAAATTTATCATTTATTTAGATCAATCAATACATCAAATTGTTTTTTCCCATTTGCTTAATTAATTTTCATCTTTTTAATTATCCTTCTTAATGAAAAACTTATTTTGTAATGAAAATTTTAAAAGCACTAAAATATTTGCTACACATAACTAATTGTATCTATTTTATTTTATTAATATATTTTAATTCACAACTAAATCCATTCAGAAAAAGTCTGATTAAGTTTTAAAATCCATATTATGGAAAAGTTTTCAGAAATTGAACTATATGAAATTCATACTAAAAGTAGTTTCAACTTAAAAACTGATCAGTTATTATTAGAATGCATTATTTCAAACACAGTAATTAGATTACTTTAAATGTTTAATATCGTTTAAGATTAGTGAATTGCAGTGAGGAATGTTATATGGAAATAAAATGAAGCCTTAAGACTTAAGGATGAGTACTATACTGTACAAAAAATAAATTTAAAAAATACTAATTAAATTCACGAGCTTTAAAGGAATAACAATTTATCAAATTATCTATTTTAAAATGAGTTATTAAAAGCAAAATGCTTCTAGACTTATGTATTCATGTATAAATTTTTTGGAATAAATATACTTTTGGAATGATTATTCATAAATAAATACGATAAAAAAAGGATTGCGGTTAAACATCGGAGATTCATATTTATAATCAATAATTTTCTGTAATTGTTTTTCATACATTGAATTTCATTATTTATTCACTATTCAATATTAGATCTATTCTTTATGATTATTGTAGGATTGAAAAAGACATAACAAAAAAATCTATTATCAATTCTTTTGAGTTTATGTAAATTCTTATGTATTTATATATAATAATTTTAATCATTTTTGAATAAAACCAATATCATTTTTTTTACTCTTATAAATTTAAAAAATAAAACTTCCGATTTGAATTTCTCATTAAAAAAATGAAAATAATTTGTAGCTTTACAAGATTAAATGATAATTAAATCTAGTATTAAGAAGTGTTGATAATTTATAGAAGTAAAAGAATTTTTAGTTATTCTTGTTTTTGTTAACAAATATTCAAATTATTGGAAAATCAAAAAAAATAAATATTTAGATTCAAAATTAATAAGTTTAAACTAAATCATATGTTCTAATTTGGTTAAAGATTAGATCATAAACAAGAAGTATTTATTTATAATTTAATATTATAAAAATACATACAAAATAATTTTAAAAAGGAAAAAAAAATTTAAGGATAAATTCATTTTCTTTACTTTAAAGAGCAGCAAATTTCAAAATAACAAATAATTAAGAAGAATTAAAATACATTAAGAAAAAAAAATTAATATTTGATATAAGCTTAAGAAATGATTGGCAGATAAATAGTTTGGAAATGTGTATATCAATAGTATAGATATTGTTAAGAAGTATTTTACATTATATAGTCTTATTAATTGAATAATTTCCATTTTATTTAGATCCTATTTAAAAGCTTCTATTGCAAAAAAGATTTTAACAATGAATACATATTAAATTGAACTTAATCCAATACTATTTGAAATATTAAAAATCCGAGGATATTCATTCATATTATGCTTATTACTCAAAAAATTTAAAGTAGTAATGTATTGATGGTAATAAAACTAAATACTTTTGAATTAATTTATTTTAGTCATCTTAACAAATCACCAATATTAAAAGGTTTTCTTATATTATCATCAGTTAAATTTTCTAAATCGAAATGTATTATGGAATAATTTTCTTTAAAGAAATTTAAAACTTTCTTTAATAGCAAAAATATCCAACATTTCCTTTAAAAAAAAACAATGGATGTCAATACAATTTTTATTTTCTAAACGCAAGCCAACCTGGAATATAATCATTAAGGATTATAAAAATATAAATTCGCTGAATAATCCTTACTTATTAAAATAATAAATTAATAATGTATGCAAATCTGTTTAGATATTTCTGTTATTTGAAAATATAATCAAAATTATAACTTATTCACATGATTAAACCAAAAGTAATCTTCGAATTTTTATTAAAAGAGTTGCATTATTTTTTTAAAATATGATTGTTAAGAGTAGAATTAACTTTAAAATTTATAAAATATTAGAATATTTTATTTTCAATTAGTTGATCATAATTAATTTGGATTTAGATTCAAAATTTTTAAATAAAATTAAAGATAATTATAAATAATTTTTTTATTTGGAAGTATTAAAATATAAAAATGCTAATGTAAAAATAATAAAAATAATAAAAAATTTTCAATAATAGTTTTCAATAAAAATAATTTTCATTATACTTATTATAATTTCATCCTTTCTAAATTAAGATTGAAAATATATATATATTTAATGTCGGGTAGCTAAATTCGACTATTTCAATGATAGGAAAGGATAAAAAATTGATAGATGTAGTAAAAATATTTTATACTTTATAAAATTATCAAATTAGATAATAATTTATCAAAAGGAATTTATTTAATATATATTAATTATAATAATAGATATTGATAAATTGATTTACTATATTGATAAATTTTTCTGATGATATCATTTTATTATAGATATAATCTTTTATTTGAGGTCTGTATATAAGTTAATTAATAATAAATTTTAATTTATGGGAAGCAAAGCCGAGAATTAAATTGAATAATATTCAGGATAAGACTTTGGTGATAAGATAAGTTTTACAGTAGGTGTAAGTTACATGTTAGGTAGATTGTATTTTGTAAATTTAGCATCATCGATTGGATTATTAAAGGGAGCAATTGAAGGATTTCCAAGATAATTGAACATGCCTAAAAAATTGATTTTAAATAATTTCTTTAATGCTGTAGGAAAACGTACATCAACATATGGTTAAGCTGCTGCAAGTGCAAGCATGCTTTATTATTTTGTTGGTGCAGGAATGAATCTCTTGTTTGAAGATGAATTAGCTGATATCAATTAACTTAAAAAAAATATGCTTTGCGGTGCTATTTCTGGAGCTGTATATAAATCTACATTGGGTATAATGAAAATAATATTCAAATTAGGGATTGTCCCATTTTTTGTAGGAGGAATTGTTGGAGGATCTTTGATAGGAGGTCTTACACTTTTGGTAGAGAATTTCAATAGAAGAGGAATTGTGGCTTTTGAAATGAAATTTTGATAAGTGTTATTTTGTTTTTTTAATTAATTTCATAACTAAATGGGTTCTTCTATATGTTTAAATTGCTCAATCAAAACAGAAGAATCTGATATGCAAGTAATACATTAGGTTTAATAAATCATGTTTGAGTGTTCTGATCTTTAAGATTAATAAATTGTTGAAAATGATAAACCCTAAGAACAACCATAATAATTACCAGAAACAGATACTTCAAAGAATTTAGCAAGCCCTAAATTGAAAGGTATTTTGAAGCACTATTTCTAATAAAAATAAGATCTTGAAAATATTAGTTAAGATAACAAATTGCCAAAAATTACTATTTAAAAGAAAAAAGTCAAATTTAGGAAACCATCAAAATTTGTATAAAATGACTGATCTATGATAGTTAGTATAAATTATTAACTTAATTTTTATTCAACAAATTCATCGAAATCTCATTATTGCTTTCTAGAATCATTATTATATTAAATAAGATAATGAAAATTCTTAAGTAGGTTTAATTTTATATGTGTTTATATAANTATATTAATTATAATAATAGATATTGATAAATTGATTTACTATATTGATAAATTTTTCTGATGATATCATTTTATTATAGATATAATCTTTTATTTGAGGTCTGTATATAAGTTAATTAATAATAAATTTTAATTTATGGGAAGCAAAGCCGAGAATTAAATTGAATAATATTCAGGATAAGACTTTGGTGATAAGATAAGTTTTACAGTAGGTGTAAGTTACATGTTAGGTAGATTGTATTTTGTAAATTTAGCATCATCGATTGGATTATTAAAGGGAGCAATTGAAGGATTTCCAAGATAATTGAACATGCCTAAAAAATTGATTTTAAATAATTTCTTTAATGCTGTAGGAAAACGTACATCAACATATGGTTAAGCTGCTGCAAGTGCAAGCATGCTTTATTATTTTGTTGGTGCAGGAATGAATCTCTTGTTTGAAGATGAATTAGCTGATATCAATTAACTTAAAAAAAATATGCTTTGCGGTGCTATTTCTGGAGCTGTATATAAATCTACATTGGGTATAATGAAAATAATATTCAAATTAGGGATTGTCCCATTTTTTGTAGGAGGAATTGTTGGAGGATCTTTGATAGGAGGTCTTACACTTTTGGTAGAGAATTTCAATAGAAGAGGAATTGTGGCTTTTGAAATGAAATTTTGATAAGTGTTATTTTGTTTTTTTAATTAATTTCATAACTAAATGGGTTCTTCTATATGTTTAAATTGCTCAATCAAAACAGAAGAATCTGATATGCAAGTAATACATTAGGTTTAATAAATCATGTTTGAGTGTTCTGATCTTTAAGATTAATAAATTGTTGAAAATGATAAACCCTAAGAACAACCATAATAATTACCAGAAACAGATACTTCAAAGAATTTAGCAAGCCCTAAATTGAAAGGTATTTTGAAGCACTATTTCTAATAAAAATAAGATCTTGAAAATATTAGTTAAGATAACAAATTGCCAAAAATTACTATTTAAAAGAAAAAAGTCAAATTTAGGAAACCATCAAAATTTGTATAAAATGACTGATCTATGATAGTTAGTATAAATTATTAACTTAATTTTTATTCAACAAATTCATCGAAATCTCATTATTGCTTTCTAGAATCATTATTATATTAAATAAGATAATGAAAATTCTTAAGTAGGTTTAATTTTATATGTGTTTATATAATATAAATCTTCATTGCTTATAGTTTTAAGCATACCTATTAACATAAGTTTATCTAAATAAGATTCCGTTATTTAATTAGTTTTAAAGATCCTAATTCATTTAATTTATTATTGGTTTAAAGAATTTAAAGAAGCCTTATAGTAATCATATCAAGAATTATATTATAGATTTACTGAGAATATAAAAAATTTATTATTTCTCTGAATTTTCTAAAATGATAAATATGTTCTTCACAAATTTAATCAAAAACTAAATGTGTATGTGAAATAAAATAGGAATATTTAAGAGATAGATAATTTTATTTAGAGTTTATATAAGTAGAATTAAGAGATTAAGAAAAACTTGAAATAATCAGCACAAATTAAATTTATATAAATCGAATAGAGAAATTGTAAAAGTTCTAAATATTTTGATAATTTAAATAAATAAAACAAATGTAAAAATAGAGATTTCCTACACTTGGTGAATGGACTGAGAAAGTTTATATATATTTAAATATTTAAGAAAACAAGCTAATTTACGGAAGAAAAGTTGATAATTAGAAATCCGGAAGAATTGAAATGCAAAATTGCAAAAATGATATCTGAAGGTGCAAAACAGACTTAAATAGTGACTGATTTTGATTAAACAATATCTTCTTTTCTTAGTCCAGCTACATTTAGTTTGTTTAGGTATAGAATAATAATATAAAAATAGGATGTCAGAATTATCACCTTAGGAATTCAAAAATAAAATGTAATCTTATTATGATTACTATGTTCCAATTGAGAAAGATTAGAGTATTAAAATAGAGGAAAAAAATAAACACATGCATGAATGGTATTAGAAAGTATCTGAAGCATTTCATGAAGCAAAATTTACAAAGTCATTAGCTTGTTAAATATTAAATACTTCTCATATTTATTTAAGATATCTTTTTGAACCATTCTTTAATAAATGTGAAGAAGAGCATATTCCATTTCATATTGTAAGTGGTGGACTTGATAAAGTGATAAATACAATTTTAGCTTCAATTCATGAGATTGAATCCTATGATGAAATGACATTACATACAAATTAAATGTTGTTTTAAGATGATATCTTAGAAAAGATGGAAATGCTTGTAACAGCAACTACAAAAGCTAAAATATTAGAAACTTCAGGAATTCAATTCAGAAACAATACTATTTTGTTAGGTGATTTGCCAAGTGATTTTTATATGACTAAATTCTTAAACATTCCAAATTAAGTGAGCATAGGATTTTTAGTTTAGGATCATGCATAGTAGATTTTAATTTATAATTAGTTAATTGGAAGAATATAAGAAATTATATGATATCACTATCATAGGTGATCCTAGTTTCTTAGTTCCTTAAGTATTGTTATCCAAAGTAATTGGGCATCCATTATCAGAAGAATGCACTTAGCTTTTCAATTCATAAAATTATGATGAGCTTCGTGAACTCTTTTGAAATAGAGATTATTTAATACAAATAAACAATAACAATTATTTCATATATTTAATGTCTATGACTCTAATTTCTTTATAGAAAAGAATAAAGTAAAAACTAAAATAAAAATATATAATGAATTAAATTTCATATATATTTTTAAGTAATGAGTGAACAAGAACATTAAATAACCAAGAATCAAAACTAAATCTTGTAATCTACAGAAACTCATAATTCAATGCAATAAGAAGGTTCAAACTAGATTTACACCTACAAGGCTCCTTGGTTGATTTATGCAATGGGATTTTAATCTAAACCCAGTCCTTAATCTCGTATTGCAATTGGCAGTATGATTGAAGATATTTAAAATGAAGTAAATATCCTCTTATTTTTAAAAGGTTTTTATACTTCAACTAGACAAAGAACAAGAAACATTTGGCAAAAAAGCTAAATTCAATCATAGATATGCTCCAACCAAAGTTTTATGGATACCCGATATTGAAGGCAAATATCCTGATTTATTAGCAACAAGTGGAGAAAATTTAAAGATTTGGGAATATGATGATCAAAATTCATAAGTTAAGATTAAGTGGGACTTAAAAAATGTAATTAATAGATATTCTAATAAAATTAGACAAGTGATTTTAATGCTCCTTTGACTTCTTTTGATTGGAGTTGTAAATAACAAAATTATATTGGAACTGCTTCTATAGATACAACATGTACACTTTGGGATATTGAAAAATAAACTGTATTTACATAACTTATAGCTCATGATAAAGAAGTCTACGATATTTGTTTTAGTGTTGACCATCAAATTTTTGCATCTGTTGGAGCAGATGGTAGTTGCAGATAATTTGATCTAAGGTTATTCATCAATATAAATCTTTAGAGCTTTAGATCATTCAACTGTACTTTTTGAAACAGAAAATAATAACCCTATAGTAAGATTGGCTTGGAATAAAATGGACACTAATTTTTTAGCTATCATAGAAATGGATGTTAATTATGTTACACTGTTAGATACAAGGTAAAAATTCATTTTAATTTAGATAACCACTTTTACCTTTAGCCAAATTAAAAAATCATAAAGATTATGTTAATGCTATTGCATGGGCACCTGAATCTACAACCCATTTATGTAGTGTTGCAGATGATTCTTCAGCATTGATATGGGACTTTTCAGAACTTTAAAATAAATCAAATGATTCAAATTCTATAGGTAGTCTATTTTAATTATTTAGATCCACTGCTTGAATACAAAGCAGAAAATGAAATAAGTAATTTATCATGGTCATTGACTAAAATTGATTAAGTGAGTATTTGTTATAATAAATCATGTTAAATTTTAAATGTGTGAAATTCATTTTATCTTCTTACTATCAATAAATTTATGGAGTTTATCTTTCTAAATTGTTGTTAAAATTAATTTTCATTAATTACTATAAGCAAAAATACAATAAATAATTCATCTTTTCAGAAAATTATCAATATTAATTATTCTCCAATTATAATTCTTTCCCAATAACAATTTTTCAAAATTGCTTTCTTTTAAAAGAGTAAGAATATTAGTATCATGTTTATGCTTTTAAGACATAAATTTTACAGCATGATATGAATACGGATGTAACTAATATTTTTGATTATATGAGAATACTTCAAAATTTTATATTTTAATGCTAGTCTTACATTTGATAAAGCAATCTAAAATAACTGTTAATTTTGGTCTTGAAGTAATTGGATTTCTAATCATTGAATGAAAAATGTTATAAAATTCAATTTTCATATCAATTAAATCTAATTCCCAATTTGGTTTCTAAATTTAATTACACTATACCTAAAGATAATAACTTTTTCCATCATCTAATTCGAAACAAACAGAATAAGCAGAAAAAAGAATTTCTTCTTCAATTTCAGGATCATAGATTGGTTCAATAAATTGATTATTATCTTTTAGACGCTTAAATCCTGTTTGAAATCCTTTCACTAGTTCAGAATCACATGTCTAATTAGCAAATTCTATAAAATCTTCATGGTTGATTGAAGCGATTACATTATTAAAAGCATAGATAAATCCATCAGGATCTTTCATATTCAAATCTTCCGTAACAAAGTTTAGAGCTTTCCTATTATTAATTGGGTTTTGAATGCCTATCAATAAATAAAGATTCAGACCTTTATTGTAATAAGGTATCACTAAGTGATGATGACTTTTTGAAAAAGAGGATGCTATTCTCTTTATAAACATTAAATATTATTATCTTAAATATAAATATCAATATCCTCATAATAACATATTTTTTTTTTAAAAACTACTACAATTATATATCAAAAATCCTAAATCAAATAAAATTATATTAATCTATCAAGTTAAAAAAGATTCAGAAATAACAACAATTGAAGTATCAAATTGATAAATAAATTGAATAATAAATTTATGTAAATTAATATTTAGAAACCCATTATCAAATCAACCATCCGGAATGTTTATTCTCTTATAATTAAGAATATTAAGATCATCATCACATAATACACTTGTAATCATATTTGACGATTCTAGATCATACTCTTCCATTTTCATTTCTTTAGAAGGTAATTCATTATTAATTTCATCACAATGTTTTTCAAAAAGCTTTTGCGGCAATTAAATACCATAATTTTAATATTTCAACATTTATTAATATGTTGTTTAAGATCGCATAATAAAATATAATCTTGAAATTTCATGCAATTAGTTGACTACTGACAGTTTTAGTAGCACATTTTTCCTAACCTTTTCATACCACTTTTTAAATTCTTCTTAATTAATTTAATCTTTTTCATGTTTAATTTCTATTGTTCTACCCATACAACTTTTAGTTTTCTTAAGATTTCGAAACTAAGGATAATAAAAACTAATTATTTCGTCAATTATTTTATTTTCCATTTCTTCTCTATTAAATTATTGAATAAACCAAGAAGCTGCCAATAATAAACTAGCAATAGATCCAACTTCAGCTAACATTTCTCCAATTTTAACATATGTAACTAATTACTTTATTTCAATAGGATCAACTTTGAAAGCAATCTCAACTAAAACTTTATCTTTAATTATTTAAGCAGAATGAGTTTTTGTAATTGTTTAAGTCAAAACACTAAAATCAGAAAAATAAGTAAAAGGATGAGAATTAGAAAATACCAAATGATCATCAATTATTGTATTTGTATTTTAAAATAATAAATCTACTTTGAGAGTGAGACTTTCTTGCAGAACAAATTATAATTGTTTTTCTACTTCATATAATTCTTTATTTCTTGTATTAAATTATTATAATTTAACTTCAATCTCAATAGTGGTTGATGAATTACTCAAAAAGTTTTTTATATCTTCATCAGAAGCGCAAGTTTGATTTCCTTTTAAATATTTTTTTTAGCAAGTAGTTATTATTAAAAAATAGTATCTACTACTTTCCTGTTATTTATCATTATGTGCATTTTTAACAATTTCCATTTTTTCCATTTCAATTANTTTTTTTTTTAAAAACTACTACAATTATATATCAAAAATCCTAAATCAAATAAAATTATATTAATCTATCAAGTTAAAAAAGATTCAGAAATAACAACAATTGAAGTATCAAATTGATAAATAAATTGAATAATAAATTTATGTAAATTAATATTTAGAAACCCATTATCAAATCAACCATCCGGAATGTTTATTCTCTTATAATTAAGAATATTAAGATCATCATCACATAATACACTTGTAATCATATTTGACGATTCTAGATCATACTCTTCCATTTTCATTTCTTTAGAAGGTAATTCATTATTAATTTCATCACAATGTTTTTCAAAAAGCTTTTGCGGCAATTAAATACCATAATTTTAATATTTCAACATTTATTAATATGTTGTTTAAGATCGCATAATAAAATATAATCTTGAAATTTCATGCAATTAGTTGACTACTGACAGTTTTAGTAGCACATTTTTCCTAACCTTTTCATACCACTTTTTAAATTCTTCTTAATTAATTTAATCTTTTTCATGTTTAATTTCTATTGTTCTACCCATACAACTTTTAGTTTTCTTAAGATTTCGAAACTAAGGATAATAAAAACTAATTATTTCGTCAATTATTTTATTTTCCATTTCTTCTCTATTAAATTATTGAATAAACCAAGAAGCTGCCAATAATAAACTAGCAATAGATCCAACTTCAGCTAACATTTCTCCAATTTTAACATATGTAACTAATTACTTTATTTCAATAGGATCAACTTTGAAAGCAATCTCAACTAAAACTTTATCTTTAATTATTTAAGCAGAATGAGTTTTTGTAATTGTTTAAGTCAAAACACTAAAATCAGAAAAATAAGTAAAAGGATGAGAATTAGAAAATACCAAATGATCATCAATTATTGTATTTGTATTTTAAAATAATAAATCTACTTTGAGAGTGAGACTTTCTTGCAGAACAAATTATAATTGTTTTTCTACTTCATATAATTCTTTATTTCTTGTATTAAATTATTATAATTTAACTTCAATCTCAATAGTGGTTGATGAATTACTCAAAAAGTTTTTTATATCTTCATCAGAAGCGCAAGTTTGATTTCCTTTTAAATATTTTTTTTAGCAAGTAGTTATTATTAAAAAATAGTATCTACTACTTTCCTGTTATTTATCATTATGTGCATTTTTAACAATTTCCATTTTTTCCATTTCAATTAGATTAGTTCCATAATTTGAAATTTCATTATTAGATAAGATAGATTGATAGGATATTGGTATATTATTTTCTAAAATCATTGCAATTGGCATTAGTATATTACCTTATGTAGAAAATGGATCAACATATTAATCATCGTATCGTACAAATGTTAATTCAATCAATTCTTCAGGCATTTCAAATTTTTCAAAAGCAGCAACTGAAGATTCTAATAAAATCTTTGGTATTATCTATCCAGTGGCCCATTACGACAAAACAAAAATAAAATAAGCCATACATACACTATAGACTGAAAGTGTGAAAATACCTCCAATTATAGATTTATGTTCCTATTCTGAATGAATGATTCTATGTTTAAATTCAGCTCCAAAGTTGTCAATTTTAGATAAGAAATTAATCATTATAATTATATAAAAAGTAATTATTCATTATTCATTTAAATTTAGATATGGAAAAAGGCTATATTTTGTTTAAGATGTTATATTGATTTAATCTATTTGTAACCATATAATTATTTTGTAGATCTTGAGAAAATTAATCTTTTTATGATAATTATCTGCTATGATATGGAGAATAAATTTGAGTTAAAGTGAGTTTTCCTGTTGGACTTAAAGGTGAATTATTAAATTTCATAGTTGTCCTTTCATTTTTTTTTGGAAGTGATACACTTGATTAATGTTTTTTCTTATCTGACTTTTTCTTAATGACATATTGTCTAATTTTAGATACTTTTTCATGTTAAAACCAAATATGATTTAATGCTTCATGTGATGATAATCTTTCATTTTAATCATCATTTAATATGCATTTTAAAAATTATAATCCACTACTACTTAATCTACAATCATTAAAATTTATTAAACCAAGTTAATTATTTATTAAAATTTATCTAGAATTAACATTATCAAATGGATTTTTACCAACTAATACATAATACATGATAATTCCTATACTATAAACATCAACTTTATAATCATAAGGTTCATTTCTTAAAATTTCAGGAGCAACATATCCTGGAGTTCCACATCTTTTAAATAAATAATGACCATCACTATGATAAAACTCTGCTAATCCAAAATCTGTTAAACAAATACTATCCAAGTTATCTATTTATCTAAATATTATATTCTCAGGTTTTATATCACGATGCATAATTCCTTTTGAATGTAAATATGATATTGTTTTTATTAATCTAAATATAAATCTCGCAGCCTTTTCCTCTGAAAAAAATGATGTTTTTTCTATATGTCCATCCAAGTCTTTTCCTATTAATAATTCCATAACAATGTAAATATTCTCAGAATTCTCAAAAATCTCGTAGAACTTTACACAAAATTCAGTCTGTACAATTCTCAATACTTTTATTTCTTTAAATAAAGCAACCAAATCTGCTTCATCAATCAATGATGATTTCTTTAAAATCTTAACTGCATAATCATTGCCATCATTACTATTTTTAGCTCTGTATACCTAACAATATAACATCTATTTTACTTCAGTAAATCTCCCTTTACTAATCTTTCTAATCAATACATATTATTTCTAGAAATCACTTTATATTGTATGTCTTTTAAGTAACTTAAACCATTAATTTGACTCACTGTAAAATTCAACTTAATCAAAACACTTCACTAATCTAATACTTTTAGGCTCTTATCCTTAGTCTATTATACTGTTTTCATAGTCAAGCCAAAATGTTCTATTCTTAATTAGGATATCAAATAAGTTTACCTGTTCATCATATACTAAATAATTATCATACACTTTAAGATCTATAGTTTTTATATCATCTCCATCTTTAATTTTAACAACATCCTTAAATTAGAATGAGGCAAATTCGAAGGGCAATGGACTTGAATTCCACTTCATCTCTGTGTAATTCTATTAAAAGAATGATCGGCAATGTTTGAATTCACAACTAAAATAATAAATAACTATTTTACTTTGGATTCAGATCCTTGCTTAACATGAGTAGATTAATTTAATATCATCATATATATTAATATTTTTCATAAATTATCAATTATAATTTAGTCCCATCTAAAATAATTACAATACATTTCCTATAAAGCATTTGTTAAGTACATAAATACCAATTTTTATATTAAACAATAAAATACTAGAGGAAAATTATTATACAATAAAATTATATAAAAAATATTTATCAGTACTTCTATATTCATTTTAATATACTTAAATTTTGCTAATTCCAAAAATTATCCCATAATTTCTATGACGAACATCATAATAGATTTATTTATTTAAATTTATCTAATAATTATTATAGTGACTAAATTTTGAAGTTAATTCAATACAATATGAATTTCTAAACTCTATCGAGCCACTTTACCATCAAATTATGTGTCCTAATCAATCTTATATTTTAATAAATCTGCTATTGAATTAACACATGAATATTTTTTATTTAATTTAAGTTTTAAGAAGAAAACCAAGAATGAAAACTAAGAATTAAAGAAAAACTACATATGGATAGAATTTGTATTTTAAATTAAATTCTAAATAATATGAAGTTTTTATAAGACTATCATTTACCAAAATATATCTCCTTTTCAGAAATAACCAAGAAATTCAGCAAAAGTAATTTGGAAAATGTCAGAGATTTTTTATACCTAGGGGAAACAGTTCCCGCAGTGACCGCTGCCAAGGCTCGAGGTGGACGAACAGGTCGGGAAGCAAGGCCGGAAATACTAAAAAAGTACCATTATAATTGTTTAACTCTTTTAAAGATTTGAAAATGCTTTTATTTCATCAAAAAAACTATGATAAATGCAAATATTGGAAATTTCCTAGAGCAGATATCTACTGTGAGCATTTTAAAAAGGGATCATCATGGTGAAAGGATTAATAATTAATAGAAACATTAAATTTAAAATATTTTTTACTATTTTTGCCTTAAATATTTTGTTACTCTTTAGCAATGTTGCATAATAGATATTTATTTATGATAATTATATAACAAATATATATCTGTAAATTATTAAAAAATAATAAGTTTGTGATTTTTGAAGTTTTTTGTCTCTTTTTTTTAATTTCGAGCTTTTGGATTAATATTCAGTAATTAAAGATAGTATTGAGTCATGGGATCGATAATTATCATTTTGAAGATTTAGAAAAAATACATAAAAATAATAATATTGGTTTGTACCAGCAAATCCAATTTAATAGTTAAATTATAAGAAATAGTATGTGGAGAATCATAAACGAAAATGGGAACATTATATTTAGAAGGGTATTATTACTTATGAAAATAATTTGAGAGTTTTAACTTTGGTGAACATATGATTGATAATTATAAATTTCGATTTTTTATATTTATTAACATATCTGATTAAGGATACTAGAATTCAATTGAATTCTAAGTCTTCTGGCTTGATGGTTTTTCCTGTTGGTTTCTGTTTAAGTTTTTATTTATCTCTTAACATAGATTTTCTCATATCTGTAATATAAATTATTAATACCATATGCATCTTCATATTTAGAATTTTGACTACTATAATATTGAAATACAGTCTGATATATTTCATATCCAAAATTTTAATACATTAATACAGCAATTTTATTTGATGGTCTAACAAACAAATCGACATACCAACCATTTTAACTATTTGTTACTTCTTCTATGTAATTCATTAAGAATCTTGCTACTCCTTGTCTTCTATATTCAGGAGCTACAGTAATTGCCTTAATATTATTAATTTTAAATACACTTATATGACCATGCCAATTTTATTTATTGTTATTATTTTTTTCTCCTTCAATTTTACCCAATACTTAAAATTAGATAGAAGTTTTTACAATATCCTTAAAAATTGCCGAAATGATTTTTAATGGAAATACAAAATTCTGGCCATTTAGCAATATACTTTCCATAGAAGCCTATATTGAACTAAAATTGATATAATATTTACTGTCTCTGTTAGAATATCTAAATTTATGTTGTTGTAATCTAAAATATCAAAAATTTGAAATGGTTTAATGGTTGACATAATATAATAATAAATAAATTAATGAATTAATTGCCTAAGGAGTCGATTATAAAGTTATAAGAACACATAAATAAAGAAGTGGTAATATAATTTCAAGGAGGAAGATAAGTAAAAGGAAACTTATTATCATTTGATAATCAACTTAATTTAGTATTGGATGAAGTGAGAGAATTACCATCTTAAAGAATTTTGGGATTAGTAATTTGTAGGGGAGCTTTAATCAATAGTTTTGCTATTGATGGAATGGTAGAGATTGAAAATCCATATTAAAATGATTTATAATATTAATGAATGGTGAAATTAATCCATTAAAGGTTTTTATTGTTTGAGAAGATTATAAATATCAAAATTAAATCTGAATTAAGAATAAATCAATGGACGATAAAGTAATTATTCATAATAAGTCAATTATCTATCCTTAAAATTGAGATTTATAAACAAGAATAAATTTTCTAATTTATTTAAATATGATAATTATAAGACTTTCTCGTCACTTCTCAAAAATTAAGAAGGACTTGTTAACAAACCCTGAATTTGATAAAATTCATCCTTAATTTTTAGATCATAAACCACCTACTACTTTACATAGATAACCTAAAGAAGTACCTTATATAAGATCCCTTTTCAGATATAAAGATATTGCTGTACCAAATTTTGAAAATGCTTTACATTAAAATGTAACATAAAAATTTTATTAGGCAAGTTTAAAACATTTGTTGAAGGTCATATAAGTCCAAAGGGAGCATTGAAGAATTTATCAGAAGAATAAATTAAATAAATCTAAACTCAAGTTACTAAAAAATTGTAAGAATTAGAAGACACTGGACTTTCAAGAGAAGAAATATTAACAAATGGAGTTAATGTATTTAAATAATTAAAAGTTTAGAAAGGCATTCCATTAAGTTATGATGCATTTTTTTAATTATTAAAAAATAATGAATAAGCTCGTTTGGTTTATTTGGCTCCAGGAGAAGAATTCACTGTTTAAAAAATAGTTGATATTGCTTTAAGATAAGATATTGGTAAGGATCAATTTAATGTTCCAATAAATAAATATCCTAATAATATGAAATTAAAAAATTATGAAAAATAAAAAGATATTTTAGTAAATACAAAAGATCATTTAGAACATGTAAATGAATTAATAAGTGATGAAGTTGTTTATCATCATCATCCATAATCTAGAAAACCAATTAGAAGAGTTAATAATTATGATATTCATTGGAGAAATACAGAGTTCTTAATTTAATTTTTAAATAAAAGTGCAAAAATTAAAAATAGACATTAAACAAATTTAGCTGAAGTTTAACATAAAAAAGTAGCAAGAGCTATTAAAACAGCAAAACAAATGTGTAATATAATATATATATATAAATTATTTTAGTACTTTTACCATTTAATTCTTCACTTTAACCTTATAATAAGAAATCACTTACTAGTTTAGAGGATGACATCTAAGAATTTTCAAGAAGAAAAATTAATTTAGCAACAGGATAAATTTATAATGAAACACCATTACAAAAAAGAGAGAGATCTTTAGAAACATAAACTATGATGGATAATGATTTAGATATAAATCCTGGTACACCAAGACCAAATAATATGAATATTATTAAAGGTATAGTTTATGCAGAAAAATTGAAAAAGAACGAATTAGAATAATAAGGCATCAAATTATCTAAAGAAGAATAAGATCTTAGAAATTATAGATTTAATGGAAATGAAACTAAATTTTAAGCTTTGAGAGATGAATAATTACTTAAATAAGAAATTTAAAAAGAAATTGAGTCTAAAGATGGAGAGTTTGTAGATGAATTTAATTAAATTAAAGTAAATCTTTTTCATATTTGAATTTTAGTCAAATGTAGAGAAAATACCAACTTACTTTTTAAGTTAAGCCTTTATAAGTGAATAAACCTTATAAATGGAAAAATTGTAGGAACTTGTATATTAAAAATAAAAATAAACATACACTTACGATGAAAGTGTAAGAATAATTGAAGAAGTCAAATCTAGATTAAATAAGTGATATTGTTGATATTCAATCATACACATGTTTAAAACCAACATCTGTTTCACAAGATATTATTCTCTTTTCTAATGTATCTGTAACATCTTGCAATTTCTCTTTATCACTTTTTAAAACATTTAATTGTGCATCCAAAAATTCAGCATCATGTTTAACATCTTAAGATTTCTTTAAAGCCTCATTTAATAATCTTTTTGCCTTGATTAATTACAATCAGTTATACATCATTTTGAATAAAAGTACATAGATCATCACTTGATTTCCCATGATTATTTTTCACTGTAGCAATTTCCATTCTCAAATTGGACATTTCCTTTTTACTAATTTCTAAGTCTTTTTTAAGTTCAGCTAAATAATTCTGAAAATGTTTGTAATTAATACTTCTAATTTGACTATGTGATCTTTAACATTTAATTAGAGACTCTCTTCAATTGACTTCTACCTTTTTAACATAAGCTTTTATCTTTCCTTCTCTGGGTCTACTTCTTGTTCGGATTCCAAACTCTCGTTTAGCATATAAAAATATTAATAATTATCATTATGTTGTCTCTGAGTTTTTATTATTTTGATATTGTTTCTCATAATCACTTGGAGACAATTTCTATGCTTGCTCTATTTTCTTTTAAACATATTATTGATGAGCCAAAGAATTCTGTAATTCCATCATTGCACATTATTCTTATTACTCTAATTCTGATATTTTAAAATCATATAACTCCTTTTCTTTAATTATCTTATCCTTTTCATTTTCTATTTGATATCTCACTAATTCTCTCTTTTACTTCATTTTTTAAACAGCAACCTCAGTAGATTGTCTCTCATCTTCCTTTACTTAAATTGCTTTTATTCGATAAACCTCCTATTCTAAACTTTTTTACATTTAAACACTCTAAAAATCTTTTTTTAATTGTTCTCTAAAGATTTTTGCTTCTGATTTCTTTTTTAATAACTCATCTTCCTTTATTTTTTTTAAAAGTTATCTTTAATGTTGAGATACAGCCAGTGAAAATGGAAGAGGTTATGCTTATTTTTATTTTAACTTATTTTCTTTCTAAACAAAATATAAAGGTATATAAAACCTTTAATTAAATTTCAACCCTGTGTTTGTAAATTTCATCAGCTCTTTCTTCATCTTATTAAATGCGTTTCAACACTTTTTCATGTTCCATTTTCAATTATAAAATACGATTCTAAATTTTCTATGCATCTGTCTCTGCCTACTTTTTCTAAACAAGTGATAAAAACAATGTTTTCTTTTCTTAAGTCTATTCTCCTGAAGACATTTTATTCAATTAAAATTAATAGTGAAAATCAATATATTGTATTTGTTTTTACTATATAAAAAAAGAGTCATAAGATTTAATTTTAGAAATGTTTCTTATTAAATTACAAAGGCTTTTTATATAAATGATCTGTTGGAAGAAATAGACCTTTTAAAGTATCTTTAATTTAATCTGGCTAAAGAGTTTCCCTCAATGTTTAATAAGATATTTATTAACTCTACATTTTTTTTATTGTTTAAGCTTGATCTCCTACAGTTATATTATCAATTTAATGAACAATATCATGCAATCTAGAATTAATTTAAGATATTTTTCTATTAGATTTAAATTCTTCTTATTAACTTGGTGGGGATAACGAATATGGAACTTATAATTTACGAGATGTTTGTCCTTTTTTTCTAAAAAAATGATCTGTATTTTATTTTGAATCACCATTCTCTGGCAAATGTCTCACTGTTTTAGCAAATACTAAATGTTATTTTTAACCAGCTTAAAATAATTAAACATTTATACTTAGTAAAATCTTATTAATTTCTTCTTTAGCCATCTCTCTCTATTTTTATCTATAATTTTTAGCTATTTAATGCATTATAATCTCTTTTTTTATTTAATCTTCCTTTTTATTATATATCTTCTTAGCAGCATTCCAAATCATTTTAATGACCTTATCTGATTATTCTTTATAATGTTATGCATTTATATGACCTGATTATTCAACCAATTCATCCTCATCTTCAATATTATATTAAGAAGATCTTTAAGAACCCTTTAATTCTATGGCAGTTGCTTTCCTTTTATACTTACGAATTTATTATAATTCCAATAATTTTGCTTTTGCTTCTATTTCTCCTTTTATTTAATCCTAATGAGCTATTTTTAATTCTTTTCCTACATTTATAGGAGATTCAAAATCATAATCAGAATTTTCTAATTCCCAACATTACTCATAGTTTTCTTTCACTTATTTGCTTTTTCTTCTCTATCTCTATTATTATAGTTTATCTACATCATATTAAAATTGTCTTACAATTTTTTGCAAGTAAATAATCTACATATTCTTGCTCTTAATCATCAACTTTCTCTTTTACCCTTAATTTAGGCATACTAAAATTAGCTTATAGTAATCCTTTTGAATTTATGAATGATGAAAGATTCTCAAATTTTTTCATATTTCTTTTATAAAACTAAACATCCTTTGGTATTTATTAATGTTTCAACTTACTCTAAGTCTTATCAATTAGCTTGTTCACTTTCTCAACTACAGTATATTTTTTCTCTTCAGGATATTATGTTAAAAAAGCCAACTGTTGTATTTTCTTATTTGTTATTCTTGTAATTGTATTGACTGCATTCTTCATACTTCTATCAGAATCTTAAGATTTTAGTATTTATTTTCGGTTTTCTTGCATATATAATTATAATAATAATATAATTTACTGAGGTTGAGAACATATAATCATATTTGGATATTTTATTCAAACATTACAAATTATTTACTTAGACATATTCAAAAAATAGTTTAAATCTAATCGATAAATCATTAAATTCAAAATTCATATCTTAATTTTAATCTAGCTAAAAAAATTTAAACATAAGGATTATATATTATATTTCTTATATATAAAAGAAAAATAATTCTGTAAACAAGAAAATCAGGATCATCATATATTGCTAAAATTATTATTTACTAAATTCCTAAACATTATATTTTCATATTTAGCTTATAAAAAAATAAATATTCTAATGATGTTAATTTTTTATCTCCTCTTTACAAAATTTTACTGCACTAATACTACATCTGCTTAAAATAATTATCTGATAAAGGAATAAAATATCTAAATAAAAAATGAGCAGACAAAAAATCAAATTGAATTATCCATCAGATTATAAATTTTAGATTAAATTTATGAAAAAAATATTCTATAAATGAAAGACAGTAGAATTTCAGTTTCGTTAAAAAATTAGGGATAACTTAAAATATTCCGAAAATTTGTTAAGTTTACTAAATGAAATTAATTGTCACTCAAATAAATTTTAATATTTAGTTACTAATTGTTCTAGAAATTAAATATTTGCCTTTAATTCTGAATTTTAAGAAGATAAATCAAAGTTCAGTTATTTAAGTTAATTATTTTTTGCTATGATCTCTTCGTAATTTGTGCAATATAAAGGCTCAATTATTTATATAGATTAATCTGTTTATACATCCTAATTTTTCAAAAGAATAGTAGTTTATACCGAAGAAGTAACAAAGACCTTTTTTTATTCATCTTTATCTGTATTTATTTGTGAAAATTTATGAACTTGTTCTTCCAAATTTTACTTCTGCTATTCAATATAAGAAATATGTTATTTAAGTTAATCAATTTTTGTTTCATAACTGCATGTAATTTGATAAATTTAATCATTAATTTTTGTATCATATTCTCTACTAAGTCGATCAAAAATAACTCTTTAATTAATCAAATTTATTACTTGATTTATTCATCATTTTTTTCTTTAATTCTCTTTATTTCCCAAGCATGTCTTTCATTTATTTCAGTTCTTTCTCTAAAAAATTATTATCTATATTATTCTAATTAATATTCGAAATTAGTCTATATCTATATCTTCAACTATTATAAATTATTTTAGTAATTAAATTTTTCTTCATCTTCTTTAGATGCAAATTACTACTTCATCTTTTCAACTTATTATTCATAATGTTTATGTAATTTGATGATTTCTTATTAGTGATTTTGGATGATTTATTGTATTGTGCCTTCATTTTATTATTATAACATAGCAAGTTTTTTATTATTTGCTTCATTAAGTAAATCTTAAGATTCTAGAAATGCTTAATGAATAATTTATTTATTTGTTTCAGTTTTCTTTCTCTCCACATCAACTAAAAATTGCATTTCCAACTTTGTTTTTTCAACCTTCGAATAATTAAAATTACTTACATCCAATTGCAATGATTTATTGATGTCTTGAACTAAACATTTTTAATTCATAGAATTTACTCTCTTTCCCTCACTTATTATAAAACTTACTTAAAATTGGATTCGAAGTAATTGGTCTTGTCTGTATTCTTTACTTTGGATACATTATTATTAATATTTTAAGATTAATTATGAATTGTATAATATAAATATTTTAATGAAATGATTTTAGGATTAAAATACTCTGTTCGCATTTTAGAAATGTTATATAGAAAATGTAAATTAATTATTTTGAAAAATAATATACAATAACTTTGTTTGTACATTATAAATAATTTAATTTGAGAAATGGGGCAGAACAAAATAGCTTTAAAGAGTTTTACATCTAAATAGAGAAACAAAATTGTTATCCTTTGAAAACATTTCTAGAAATAAATTTTTATGAAGTCTAAGATTTTTTTTTATTTGGACTATCTATAGATGTCAAATAATTGAAATCATTTTATAAGAAAGTAAAAACATAAATGTAAAAAATTGAATTACTTAAATTTATTATATGAAATGTCAAGAATTTATTTTATTATTAGATCATTTAAATTTAGATAAGAACTGTCTAATTAGATTAGTATAAAGATCAATCTATCATAAACTAAAGAATTTAATTGATTCTGACCCCAATTCGAATTGGACGAATAGATTATCACAACTGTATCAAACATGAATGACGAAGATGCAGACTTACTGTCTCTGTCTAATAGACGATTGAGCAAATCAATTATAAATTCCAGATGAAATTATCATAGAAAATGACTTTTATGAAAATAATAAAGTTTTATGAGTAGATATTTAATGTATTCTCCAGATTTTCATTTATATATTATACTTTTTTAAACTTATAGGTATTATACGCATTTGATAAGTCGATAAATATCATTGTTTTATTTTTGCTTTCTCCCTTGCATATTCTGTTACCTACCATAGGTTCATTTAAGTCCCTAGTCCAGGCACAAAACCAATTTAATCTTCTCCTATGTCGTATTTCATCTTCCTTTAAAGGTTATCTATGTAGAACATCTCTATCAATTTTATCACATGTGATTACACGCATATATTAATTACAATTTATTTTAAATACTTGAAAGCAAAACTTATTCACAAAAGTAATGAATTAATATTTAAAAAAATTCTTAATATTTGTTTATAGAAGTCAAATAAATCGTTGAAAATTATAAAAATTAAAAATATCAATCACTAATAAATAGTAATTCTTTATTTTTAAAATATACATTTAAAATTCGTTAAGATTTTATCGTTATAAATTGTTTATTGATGTATCTTTCTGACATTGGTTTAACATTTCTATTTTTATTTAACTAGTCCTATCAATTAGAAAACAATATTGATTTTAAAAAGATTGAATGGTAATCATCATAATGCTAAAATTGTCAATTTAAAAGTTGTTTTTTATTTAATTATATATTAAATATTAGATTAATTATTTTTGGAACTTCTAAAAAGGTAATTTGATTTAATATTCATTAGTTTTCATATTAAATCCAAATAATTGTCATATTCAGTTGAAAATATTCTAAATTTTAATTTAATTCTTGAGACATGTAAATTTACAAAATAGAGAAAAAAATATTTTTGATAATAGTAAATTTTAGAGATTCGAAATTCAAACAAATGGAAAATTCAATAATTTTAAAGTCTTTCCTGATAAAAATGAGGTATTATAAATATTTATATAATATTAAAATTAATATTTTCTCAAATGGTTAAATATTGATGATTTGTGATTTATATTAGCAGAGAGAAAAATTTTATTTTTTAGATGGTTATGACAAATAAATTTAACAAACTTGTTGCAAAAAATATTTGTTCATATAATAATTAATATAAGTAATAAATTGATGTAAGATCGAGATTTTCGAGTTTATTCAATAAAATTCAGATATAATATTTTATTTGGAATTTCTTTTTTTCTTAAGAGATTAAATATCTATTCATAAGATGAAATGGTTTCCCACTCTCTATTTGGCAATATAATTAAGAGAATAAATACTAAACAAATATAAATCAAAATTCCCTTATTAAAAAAATAATCTTTTTTTTCTTTCATCATTTTAATTTTATTTAAGATTTTATGCAACTATTACGAACAGCTGACTTTTTTGGAGTTCCCTTCATTCAATAAATTGATCAAAAGTAATCAATATATAAAAGTGCCTTTGGAGGATTAGTTACTTTACTTATATGTTCTGCAAGTTTGGGATATGCTATCTGGGTTTTTTATTAATGGCAAAATAATTAGCTAAGTCCCAAAATTTCTAATTCAATATACGTATCTGATTTTTCATTATTGGATTTGAATTATGATGTAATAAAACTTTATTATTGGAAATTTGGTGAAAACTAAATAGATCCTTTTGAATCAAAAATATTATTACCATTAGTTATGTATACAACCAATTTTAGCTTTACCGAACTTTCAGTTATAAATATGTCAAATGAAACTTCTGTTGATGGATCAAGTAAATACATAATACCAAAAATGAGCTTAGCTTTTTAGACTATAAATGGGGAGTTATATACAACATCAGAGATGTACATAGAAATAGTTTTATGTTCAGAGATTTATCTTTAACCAAATGAAAAATGTGCTTCTTAAGAATTATCTGATGAATTTTTTAAACAACCTTTAAATACTGTAGTCATGCAAGTTCACTATAAATCTTTAGACTCAAGAGACGGCTCAGAGTAGACAAGTTTATAAGAATTTTATGTGTAGATTGAAAAATAAAATTGTTATACTTTAAATACATTTTTATCTAGCAACTTATATGAAGTTTAAGATTCATTTTTATTTGGAATGCCTAGTTACTTTGAATACATAATAGGATCATCAATACAAACTTAAACAAATTCTTTTGAATATTGTAAATAGACTTATGAAAACGATGTAATAGCATTAATTTATATTATGATGAAAGGAAACCAAACAAAAACTATTTTTCAGCATCCACACGTTGGAGACCTCTTAGCTAACATTGGTTCTATTGTATCAGTTCTTTTTATGATTAAACATCTCATTATAATTCTAAATGAATACTTTCTTAATTAAAAGATACTAAATGAATTAATATCATTTTATTACCCAGACTTTAAGAATATCATGATATTAAGAGATTGGAAATAAAAAATAAAAAAGATTTCTTTGCATCAAAAAGATGTAGATATAAAAGAGTATAAAAGATTTTATAAAAAAGTAAAGTAATAAATGGAGACAAAACTAAGTTATCTGAATATGCTATATGAATTATCCAGAATTTATTTTATTATTAGGTCCTCAAATTACAGGGAAGAATTAAAAAAATCTCATTCAGTAGGCATAAAGATGAATTTTCCGTAAACTAATGAAAATTTTCTTGATTCAGGGCCTAATTCTAATCTTTCAAATAGATTACCTATGAATCTGTTAGTTTTAAATGACGAAGATGCCAATTTATTATCACTGGCTATGAGGAAATAAGTATCAAAATTAGATCCATTATAAGAAGAGATTTGTCCTGAAAATAATTATTATGAGATAAATAAATTAAAATGATATTTTTATTTGAATTTTTAAGATTTTTAAGAGAATGGATGATAAATGTCAAACCTCTTTCAAAAATTTAAAAATATGCCTTATTTTAAAGTATCAATTGTTTTAATTTTTTTGTAAACCAACAATTTATTTATAAAAAAAAGATAAAACGTAATTTAACAAAAAATCAATGCCTGATAAATAAAAAAATAGAAACCCAATAAATTAATTTAATTTTTTTTATTTTATCTACCAACCTTCTTTATGAGAACTTCAAAATGATGTGGCTATCAAATGAATTAATACTTTCATCTTATTAATTTTAAAAACAATTTCTTTGAATAATTTTCGAAAATAATTTCATTTAAATCATCTTAGTTAAATTACGAAGCAGTCTTTATATAAATTATATGAATTAAAATGACATTAAATAGATTGGACAAAAATATTGAGTTCTTAGTATTTCTACTTGAAAATACTAGTTAGAAATAGAAAGATTAAACATGATTTTAATTATACTCTAATTATAGATAAATTTCAATCAAACGGTTGCAGTTGAGGAGTTGATTCGTCATCTGAGGCTTCTGTTCTAAATAATCTATTTTATTGATTTATTAATTTTTTCTTTCTTTATTCCAACTTAAGTTAAACAGCATCTGTTTATATTTTCATTTCTGATTATATATATTAATCCATTTTTTCAGTCTCTGATTTATAATCCTAATTCAATTTATATTATTACAGACATTAATTTATTCAAGGAGGGTTCTTACTCTTTTTTATGCATCTAAATTTATAAAGTCAAGTTCATTTATTATCCTCTAGATTTTTAGTGATTCTCATTAAACTCAAGTCCTTTAAGAACATTTTTTCGATCTATTTATTCAGTTATTGAAGGAGCACGAGAAACAGTCATTAATTTTGGAACCTAGAGATTATTCAAGCTTTATATCTCATTTTCTTCTTCAATAGGATCTTATTGAAACATTGATTTAATTGTATCTGGTCTGGATAGAACAAATTAGATTTTATCGAGGAAATAGTTTTTAATAGGGTCTTTTTAGAAATCATAAAACTCAACTAATTAAGCTGTATTCTACAACCATATAAATACCATATTTTTATATCAAAGTATTGATTTTGGACTTATCCAGTACTTTAAAATGAAATCCCTCTTCTAACTTTGTTACAGCAGAAAAAAATTCAAGAGTTAATGGGACAAGTTTAGATTTTCTATTTTATATTTCTCCACTCATTTAATTAAAATATCTAAATATTTTATTAAGTATTGTTAGAGACAAATATATATACTTATAAATATGAATTTTTAATCCAGTTAATCAGTTTCTGATTTACAATTTTATTATTGGTCTGCGAAAAAGAATTAATCAGTAAATATGATGAACCTAAATGAAAGACATAGGATCATTATTCCAAAATTCAAAACACAAGACTAATAAAATTAAATATAAATTTCTAATTTGCTAATATAATATTAAATTAACTATAACTAATAATGCATCCAAAAAATAGCACACCGAATTTCAACATTGATAAGTAATTAATTTCAAAGAATTCTAACACCAACAGGTCTGTATAAAATTGTAAATTATAATTTAATATTTAGTTAGTGTATATGATGACTATTAATATTAGAAAGCAATAGAAAAATTAGATTCTAAAGATTAAATGTTTCATTCACAGATATTTGATTAATCAGAAAACCTAAAACAATAAGTAATAAATTTGCAAAGACAAATAAAAATAAAAGAACTTAGTTATGAATAGCTAGCTACTGCATTTTATTAATAGCAGCAAAATTTTGAAGAACTAAAATTAGCTTTCTCTAAAATGGATGATGAAAAAAAGTATCTTCAAAAAGAAGTAAGAGATTAAGTTGAAAAAAACGAGTTTAACTTATTTGACATGAAATAATTATAAGAAATAAATACGTTATTTCAAAATGAAAATACTTAATTGAAATTAGCAGCTGTTAAAGTATTAAATCAATTTGAGTTAGCTTAAAGACAATATTATAAAATTATAAATTGACAACAAACAACTTAAAGAACAAATTGAGACTTTGATGACCAATCCAATCAGTTGTGATAGGAAAGGTAGTTCACGTCTTTCATTTGATAATTTATTAAATGAAGCAGACTATAATCAACCATTTTAAGGATAATCAGGAAGTTCACTTCCAAATGTTGATAAAAATTGTTTTAATTCAAAAAAAATTATGCATTTATAAGCAGAGATTAAAAAATATTAAGTACAATTATTTGAAAAAGACTAACTGATAGCTAAATTAACAGAATAGAATATAGTACTTTAAAAAGCTTAAGTTAAATAATAAAAATTTTAGAAAAAATAAAATCTTTTTGGAACTCCTGAAACAGATATAGCGAAATAAGATCTGATATTAGTTTAAGATAATAGTAATGATACTTCTCGATAGCTAAATGCATATTTAAGCGATAAAAGATATAACAACATTAATAATACTTAAGTTTCCTAAATGCCAGTAAGTGTATTTAATATAAAAATTAGATAAAGACATCTTCAAGTGCAAGATCTGTTTTAATGAATAAATCTAAAAAAGAAGTAGAGTAGATTTATAAAAAAATGAATTAGTCTGCTCTTTATACAGCCAGCCTATATTCGACAATGCTTGATTACAAAAATCTGCATGAAAATTGTGGATAAATTAGAAACAACACTTATAATTAAATATAATAGATATGATATGTAAATTTGTTATAATCCTCTTAATTTTATACTTAAAATAAGTTTGAATACAATTTTAATATACAACTCTCTCTTGGTTTTATTTAATCTCAAAGTTTTATTTTAAAGATTATCATTTTGTGATTTTAATAAAATAATACTTTTAAAAATTCTTGATTTAAACTTAGTCTCTCTTTATATATATTTATATAACGATTTCACAATTTTTTGATAATTTATTAATTATTAATCAAAATTGTTTTTCAGGAGATTTCGATAACTTTTTAGATGAAATTGTGAGCATTTTATAATCTTCACTCATTTCTAACTCTGACTTTACGATTTAAAGTTCTTTTTCTAATCTTTCTATATATGTGTCTCTTTATTCCAATTTTTTTTAATAATCCTAACTTACATGAGATACTTCTTCTTTTAGATTTTTTAGTTTCTTTTCAATTTTACTTCCTTTTTCTTCCTTTAATTATCTTATCAAGCTCTATAGATTACTATTTTAGGATTTTAATTAGTCTTTTTCATGTTTTAACTATTTATTTTATAATTCGAATTCTTTAAGTTTTGTTTGCTGATTTTCAAATTCTTCCTTTACTCTTAACATAGAGTCAATTTAATTTTGCAAATCAATATTTTACTTTAGTTTATTTAAATTATTACTTAAGTAAGTTCTTTTAATTAATTACCAACATTTTCCTCTAAAAACAACAGTCTTTTCTCTAAATCATTTTACCTTTATGTTTCTTGCAATGATTATGTTTGTTTATGCAATATTTGATCAGCCATTTATTTAGATATTGTTATTAATTCTGTCATTGTGTCTTTAAATTGATTAATGCTTAATTGAGGCATATCAGTTCTTATTCTAATTTTTAATAATTTATTTAAAGTCTTAATAGTTTTATGAAGATCAGATATATATTTTTGAGGGACTTCTATACTGTCAACTGCTTAGAATTTTTGTTATAAGTCAGTTTTCAAATCACTAATGTTTAACATATAAATTTTTATAAATTTAATTCTTGAAATCAAATATCAATAACAAATAATATATTTTAAGCGAATTTAAAAGTCTAATTGAGATAATCTTAAGCACAAGCATATACATTTCTTCTAAAATGGTTCCATTTTAATAATGCAAAATATCTTCTAAATATTTAAGGATTATTAAAGAGAAGATTTTTTAATGTTATAAAAAAAATAAAATGATTTTATTATTTAAAAGTTTTTAAACAAATTATATCAAAAGACATCATTATTTAACAGAAATTAGTTGTTTGATTGAGAGTTATTATTAAGAAGAAGATAAATATGATTTAAAAAACCAAGAATTTTAATCAATAATTAAAAATTAAAATTTTTATAGTTGTTAATTATATTATTATTGTTTTTCTAATTTTCAACGAATAAATGGCAAGAGACATTTATGTTTTAAGTGTAAAAATTAATACTAAGATAAGAAATAAAGTTCCCAACAATGTTTCAGTTCATTAGGAAATTTTGAATCAATTCAACATGTAAACGATTCGAATAAATGGGATGATATAAAATAGTCAAGATAAGATCTAATGAAAAAATATCATTAGTTTAAAACAAATGAAGCAAAATAAACAACATTATTAACATATTAATCATAGAAAGTATTATAAATTTAATTGAAGGTTGTCATTCCAAAGTTAGAGAATTTTGATATAAAATTAAATATTTAGAGAGAAAATATTATGAAAGCAAAAGATAAAGAGAATATTAAAAGTTCATAATAGAAACAACAAGAGAAACTTGGATCAAATAGTTTAAGGATTAGATAAGAATCAGTCTATGAAAGGTATAAAAATTTCATAAATAAAGATTATATAATTAGAGAGATACAGAAAATAAAGCAACAAAAGTATTTTAAAAAAATCTAATACTTGAAAAGAGTTCTCAACAATAATCAAAATAAATTTTAGCTCATAATACTTTAATTTAAAAGCGTTCATCTGATCCATCAATTTTAATGCCAATATCTACCTTGATTAAAAAAACTTAAAAGCAATAAACAGTATAATAAGATCAAAAAAATACTTTAATATAAATTTTACGAGAATAGTAAAATACCCAGGAATTTTATAAAATGAATATCAGTAGATAATAAGTTTTCTAAACTGAGAAAAATGAATGCTCTAAATAAAATTAATCAGCTGAAATACAAAATAACATTAATTAATCAATTTTGCCAATAAAACATTGTTATTTTTCTTTAGTAAATGTAGATGAAAGTAAATAAATTTGTAACAATAGAGTTATAAAATAAAAAAGTTAGATCCTATAGCAGTGAAAAAAATAAGATGAAATTAAATAATAAATCTTAAAAAGGCAATCGTGCGCATACTTAGGGGAAACAAGAAATAAAAAATTAATAAAAAATCAATAGATTATATGAATATATATTAGAGGGAAATTACTGAGTTATTACTTAATCAAATTTACAAATTTAATTCAATTTATTCAGACTTTTATTCCATAAGTTTTAAGATACTATTTTATTTCTTATTTGTTGATTTTTTAAGTATAATTTAATGAAGTATTCCAATAATAATGATTAAACTTATAAAAAGGCTTATATACAATAAATTATAAAGTTTTTGATATTGGATAATTTTTAATTATTTTTAGTCATAATTAATATCCTTTATAGTAAGGGCTATAAATTATAAATTTAATAATATTACTGTTTATTTTTTCTTCTCCATTGAGATCGAAATAGAATTTTACTTCATTTTCAAATCGTATTTTCTCCAAAATTAAAAGGTAAATTATTTGGCTTCTTGGTACAAATTAATCAGTTGAAAAAGTGTTATTTATATGTTTAATTCTTTATAATTTTTAAGTATTCATTGTTTCCCTTTAGAATATTTGATCATATTTAAGATTAATATAATATGCTTCAATCAGTTAAACAGAATCAGAAACTATAAAATTTTGATTAGATCCATTTGTTACACCATGGTTAATGCATTAAACTTCTATAAGATATTAATTGGTAGATAATGTATAAAATAATTTTTATGTATTACTTTCATTATACTGATATAATTATTTGATTAAAGGTTAGAAAGGTAAGTAATTAATAAATTGAATCAAAGGAGGGAATTCAGTTTTCAATAATTTAATTGTTTATTTTTGATCTGGATAAAAGTTACTAAAAAAATGTGTATTAGATTGTTCTCCTAATTCTGGACTTATAGCAATGACACCTAAATTTATAATATTTAATTAAAATACCTTAAGAAAGCATCCAATCAGCAGCCTCTCCATTTGCTGTATATTAAACTAAATCAATAGCATGACCAATTTTATAATTTCCTTGAAATTGACCATTAAGTTTAAAATCTTCATAAATAAGATATGGAACACCATCTTAATCTAATTCTTCATTAGCATAACTATAAGGTAAAACCCACAAATTTCCGAAGCAATGTAAATTTATTGCCATTTTTATATTAAAGTTTTAAACAGCATATTTAATTGCTTAAGTTTCTTTTTCTGAAAATGCTTCATTTCCTCTATAGGTTTCATCGCATGGATCATTAGAACTGCCAATATTATCATATGCAAAATGATATCCATAATTTCTATTCAGATCAATACCAGCTAATTCATCTTTTTAATAACAAGGAATAGTCCTATTTAGATTTTTTCTAGTCAAAGGTTAAAAATTATTGTTATTAAATTCAGATTCAATTTCGTTATATCCATCAATATTAACAAAAGGGACAATCCTAAATTAGATCAAATTTATTACAGGATACAATTATGATTAATCATATTTATATAAAATGGATTCTTTTCATTTTCTACTTACCATAATATATATAGAAATAAATAAATATTCATTTGCAAGGTAGCTACTTCTCTAGAATGATGTAAACTAGTAATAAGCATCATTGGCTTTTCTTTACTAAAATTCGCGCATAATGCATATGATTAAATAGTTTTATTAAGATAAGATTCTCCTATTTTTTATGAGTGGACAAAATTTGTTGTACTTTCAAGTTCTGTAAATAAATTTTCCACATCTGTTATAGATAATCTACCTTAAAGTAATGAACCATTTATTATCTCATTCTATATATGATTAAGATCTTGATTAATAATACCCTAATAATTGAAACAAAACAAAGTTGGTATCAATTAAAATAAAATTATCATTAATATAATTAAATAATGAAAGTTAGAAGTGCTTTGAAAAAGATGTGTGAACATTGTTATTTCCAAAGAAAAGGTAAAAAAGTTTATGTAAGATGTAAATCTGATCCTCGTCATAAATAGAGATAGGGAAATAAATTCTCTACAATGATAGGAAACCCTTATGTTGAAAATGGAATGTTCATCTAAATCCCTCAATTTCCTGAATATCACATTGATTTCAAGGATTTCATTAAGAGGTTACCATTTATGTGAGTTAATTATAAAAAGACCATACAAATAATCATTATCTACTGCTATTATTATTAGTGTTTTCCTAATTAAATTTAGTTGTGAAATTTGTTATATATACAGCCTAAATTTAATATCAACTATTTTAATATTGAGAGGAATAGATTCAAGATGATTCAATTCAAATAGCTATAAATTAACAAAAAATACTATTTCAAGATAATGTAATATAATTAGATATCTAATATTTTCATAATTATTTTAGCTATTGTACTTCTTGTCGCCAGGATAGACTAAATTCGTTTACTTTCGATAAGAATTCTTCTTAAAAGTTTGAATCTCTATTAATATATTTTAAATCAATGAGTTTAGGCTTTGGCTTTTAAACTTGATCGTACTCTTTCAATTGACCATACACACTATTTTGAATATCATTTTATTTTAAAGTTTCTAGAGTTTATTTCAAATCTTCATTTTCTTACAGGATAGGAATCTTGATTTGCTTCAACATCTCAAGATTTTTGGACCAGAGATGGCTTGCCTATTGTTCATATGATTATATTATTTGGAACATTTGACTTAATAGATCAAGTAAATCAGGGACTGTGGTATAGCCTGAGGAATGAATACTTTCTCTTCACTTTGAATTGATTTCAATTTTTAATGAATCGAATATGCATGACCATTTGAAAATGATGTCTATCTCTAAGAAATTGGCATCTTCGGGGGTGAAAACTAAGGACTCGATTTTCTCTTGTTTTTGTTCTTTCTATAAATTATTTAAATCTACTTTACCTTAGTTTATAATCAATTAGTTTTTAAACCAGGATGTTTTGGGAAATTTGATTCATATTTTAATTTAATTTATTGAAGCTTATAAATAACTACTGATATATATATTTATGTTAAGATATTTTACTATCTCATTTAGTAATATTTATTCTTATTCTCTTCTTAATATATAAACCAATTTTATTAAAAGTTCTATTATAAATTTACATATATTTAGCATAACTTTATTGATTTGAGTTTTATTATGTTTTTACAATTTGACTGAAATTCTTTTATTCTAACAGATGTTTGATAATTAATAAAGTGAAGTTTTGCAAAAAATCTAAACATAGATTTGATGATAATAAATAATTGAATAATTTATATAATAATTAAATATTCAGAAGCATATCAATAGTTTCAAGCTTGTTAATAGAGACTGAACTATATAAAATGTAAATTAAAGAAATTACTTTTTCTGGATCTTTAGAATCTGTTGTAGACGTATGAGATGGACTAGCTATTCTGTATGGTGAATTCTGAAGACTTGATTACAGTGAGTAATTATTGCTGGCTATTAAATGTTAGATATTTGATTTATACGCAAATAAGAATTAATATTTGGAGCAGGTAATGCTAATTGTTATTACTGATGTTGGCGATTATATGAGAAAACATTGGGATCAAACTAAAAACAGAATTCTTAAAATTCTTTTATTATTAATTATTTTACATTAATTCTATCTTGAGAATAGGTAATGAATAGGACTGTTATATTAATAATGTGAATAAGGTGATCCTATTGTATTGTATTAATTATTTTCGTTATATGGTATGACGTAATTAGATTCAGATCTGCCAGGGGAAGGTTCTTCATAAGAATTTTTGAGAATGTCTCCGATCTAAATTGCTATTATTATGAATAAACTTATTACAAATTTAAGGGAGGTTAGATACAATTTTAGCTAGAAGTATTGAAATTGTGTCAAATTTTTTATTAAACTATTATTGCATTTGATTAAGACTCTTTAATTATGGATAACCACATTACTTATAAAACTTAGTTATTTGAACGGCTGACAGTGGTGTTTGATTCAACAGAAGTTGTGAAATCAGCTTACATTTTTGTTTACGTAACTTAAATGTCTCTCACTATTTGTCTCATCTCTTCATGCTCTCGTTTATAGTTTTCAAGTTCTTGATTATTGTCTTTTGTTTCTATTTTTTGTTCAGATTCTTCTTGATTTCTTCTACGGATGTATTGGAGCATACTTCTATTTATAGAAATGTTGAGATTGATACTTGAGGCCTCTTCTAAACCATTTATGTCTGAATTCACTTTATCCATATTAGTTTTTAGTTTTCTTAAAGTTGTACATATTCAACTATCTATTGTGAAAAGCAGTATAACCTTAAAAAGCTTGGGTAATTTTTGTGTTTAAAGTAATTGGCTAATACTTTGGATGACAATTCATTTGTATTGAATACTATGAATGCATTTCCTTCATGATTCCATCCAATTATATGGGAGAGTGTTGAATTCTAAATATGATACGAATTTATTACTTCAAGTATTTCATAAGTTTTTAAAAGGAATGACGGTACATTAACTTTCAATGGGGGAAGTTCATTGATCTCTTAATTTGACATTATAATAATATTAGGAATTTTCAAGAATTTAAAAAGACTCTAAAACTAAAAATTCTGATGTTATCTTTAATGATAATATTGTTAAACAAAATAATATTAAAAATGATGTCATAATTAACATAAAAGTGACTATATTATAAGATATATGATAAGACTTTGAATAATGAATAAATAAACTTGGCAAAAATTTTTAATGTAATTTAAAAAAACAAGTTAATTTTTTGTGGTCTTAGAATTCTGGAATCAGATAAAAAATTTAATATTTTTGATTTTAATATAGAATGGAATATAAAAGGAAGAGAGAAAGTTTATGGATATAGTGGAGAATTATAAATAGAAAGTAAAATAAGAATATAAATTAATATGATAATATGAAATCATAAATATGTTGAAGTGTAGAAACGAGCATGAATCTTATCTTTAATAATTTCATGATTTTAATTCCAACCCCATTTAATAATAGGTCTTTTATGAGGAGAAAGTATAATCATGTGTTTAGAAATCATGGCTAATTGAATGCATAAACCTGGCAATAAAGAATCATCAGCTAAATGCATAGCATAACTACAAATAATTAATGAATATTAATGGTCTTGTATTTATCCATCAGCAATTTATTCAAAAGAAATAGGTAGACATTCTTATCCTGTTCTTTTTTTAAATGCTAGCATAGTATAAGGATCAATGGCTACAATATTTTTGACTCCTAATGATTGTAGCATAAGTGTGATTTCCCCACTTCCACAAGCTAAATCAAGCACTTTGGTTAGTTTAGGTTTCCATTCAGTTAATGCAATTAAGAGTAGCTATTTAATTTTATGTTCATGAGGATTTTGATAATTGGAGCCGTGTTATTGATAATATTATTGATGACCCATTTCTTCATAGCCTTCTCTAATTGATTAAAATTAATTCATATTTAAATAATGATTCAAGACTTATCGAAAGACACAATTCAATGTACTTACAAAAGAGAAGTAAAAGAATAAGCACCAACACCACATTCACATGTAGAGTTTGTTCCCTTCAAAAAAATATACAATGACGCACTTGATGCCGTAGGTCATACACCTATGATTCGTTTAAATAAAATTCCAAAAGAATTTGGTCTTAAATGTGAAGTATTGGTGAAATGTGAATTTTTGAATGTTGGTGGATCATTAAAAGATAGAATAGGAGTAAGAATGGTTTTAGATGCTGAAAAATAAGGACGTCTTGGACCAGGTAAATCTCTTGTTGAAGCTACATCTGGGAATACTGGAGTAGGATTAGCATTAGCATGTGCAGTTAGAGGATATCCATTGGTTATAACAATGCCAGAAAAAATGTCTTAAGAAAAACAAGATGTCCTGACAGGATTAGGAGCTAAGGTTATTAGAACACCTACAGAAGCCGCTTGGTATGAACCTGAATCATTGATACAAGTTGCTAAGAAAATGGCAGCTGATGATCCTAATGTTATATTATTAGATTAATATTCCAATCCATCTAATCCTTTAGCTCATTATGAAGGTACAGCTGAAGAAATATTATGGGCTTGTGATGATAAATTAGATGCTGTCGTTATATCTACAGGAACTGGTGGTACTATTACTGGAGTTGGTAGAAAAATACATGAAAGAGTTCCTACATGTAAAGTTATTGCTGTCGATCCTTATGGATCAGATCTAGCTATGCCTTAAGAAATCAATCAAACTGATATCAAAACTTATAAAGTTGAAGGTATTGGATATGATTTCATTCCTAAAGTTTTAGATAGAGTAAATATATTTATTATTTATTAAGACTGAAATTGATGGATGGGTTAAAACTCTAGATCTTGATAGTCTTCTTATGGCAAGGAAACTCTTATCACAAGAAGGTTTATTATGTGGTGGTTCATCTGGTGCTACTGTTTGGGGAGCATTATAATGGGCTAAAGCATAAAATTTTACAGAAAATCAAAGAGTAATATTATCTTCTATTCTATTTTAGATTGTCATCATCTTACCTGATAATATCAGAAATTATATCACTAAACATTTGAGTAAAACTTGGATGATTGAAAATAAATTCATATCTTATGATGAACTTAAAGAACCTGAACATCCATTAGCTGGAAAACCTATCTCAGATCTCAATTTACATGAAATTTAACCCTTAGATATTGCAACAGCCACAATTGGATAATGTTTAGAATTCTTAAAAACACATCCTGCTGTTCCTCTATATGAAAATGGTAAATTATTATCTGTTGTTTTCTAAAAAAAACTTTTGGCTGGAATTGTTAACAAGAAATTAAATCATGTATCATCTCTATCTTATATCTTAGGCTGATCTTGCTAAAAAAGTACATTCTAAAGAATTTGTTCTTGTTCCAAATACTCTTGATCTAAATTAATTAGAGAGAATTGTAGAAAGACATGAAGTTGTCTTTGTTTAAGACGAGGATAAACTTAAATATATCACACCAAGAGATTTATTGGGGCTCTTCGTATGATATCTATTACATAAAATAATAAAAATATTATATTAATTTTCATTATAATAAAATAATGGAATTTATTAGAGTAAAAAAGTTTACAGATCCTTTGTTTTATGAGAAAAAATCAAAATTTAAAGAAGATCCTTAAACAAGAATTACTGCCTATCATTACTCAGATTAAGCTATTACACTTGGTTTGAGCAATGGATAAATGATGCAATTTCGAAAAAAAGGGTTTGATACTAAACATTTCTTACAATCTAAAGATTATGAGATCATAAAGCCTGTAGAGAATAAAAATAATCATAAAGGAGAGATAAGGTGTCTAATAATAGAGAAATTTTCTGACAGTTATTATATATTTACAGGTAGTGCTGATCGTACAATAAAATTATGGGAAAATGATATTAAGAAAGGATGTATATAAACATTATTTGGTCACACTGGATCAATAATGGCAATAGCATTTGCTTAAGAAAGTTTATTTTCAGCAAGTAATGATAAAGTACTTCGAATTTGGAAATAGGAGAGTGGTAGAGAGTTTATGTACCATCCTTGGTTTGTAACTGTGTAAATAATTTATGATTTTTCAATGAAGAAATCTTTGAATTAATAATCCTACATTACAGCATTTTTAGTAAAGATGCCATAATTCTAATTATATGCAGGTGATACTGATGGTTCACTACATTTATTTATGAATTCTTAACCAACTCTTTAATAATAATAGACTTATGTTAAGCTAGAAAAAAGCTTCTTTTCTTTTCATAGATTACATGTGATTTAAATAATAGAAGTAGAAAAAGATAATGCAATATTTTCTATTGCTTACGATTAAAAAATATTAGGTTATGGTGAATCTGGTGGTAAATTCTTCAGTTATAAAAATCCACATAAATGTTTATTTACATCAATAAGATGGAGTTAAACTCATTAAGAATTGATTGCATGTGATGAATAAGGCAGAGTATATTTTATGAACATTTCTAGTGATAAATAGGTTTTAGAATTCAAATTATATGAATGTAAAATCTTAGGAATAGATCTAATAGGTAATTTTAAAATCTTATTAATGAAGATCATTTAGAAGCATTAGTTGTATACACAGAACAATTCATCGATGTTTTAAAAATCAAAAGAGGTGTAAGAACAGGAAATCTATTGGATTAACACAAAGGACCAGTGATTGAAATATTAGGAATTGATTGCCCTTAAGAGTTTGAACCAAAAAAATTGGTGTCAGCTTCTTTAGATAATACTATAAGAGTTTGGGATTCAAAGGACATGTCTTGCATCTCAACTATTGAAACAGGTGAAAAGAATGAAATATCAAGTATGCATTATTTAACAAATGCTAATCTTGTAGCCACTGGACATGATAATGGTGAGATAAGACTATGGAATATTGAAATTGGATCATTTTTGATTATTGATTAAAGTAAGGCAAAATCTAAACATAATAATACTGTGTGTGCATTAACAAGTTGTACTTTTGATAGTGAAGAATATATGTTTAGTAGTGGTTATGATGGCAGAATAAATGTTTGGGAGATCTTCGAACGTAAATAACGATTAATGGCTAGTTACATTATGCCTTAATTAAAATAATCTTTATTAGCCAATCCTAAATCTATTGCAGATTCCCTTGGAAATGAAATTCTTTGTCTTCTATTTGATAAAACAACAAAACGAATTATTGCTGCTGGAAATAAATGTACAATATATTTAATTAATATGTTCACTTATGAACATGATGATTCATTTGTTGGTCATTAAGATAGTATAACATGTTTAGCTTTAGATGGTAAAATTCTATTTAGTGGTTCTCATGATAAGACAATTAGATTATGGAATCTAAATAATAATCAAGCATTAACTTATTTTTAAGGATTGGATCATCCAATTTAAAAATTATTAGTGATTCCAGATACTGGATATTTGGTTAGTATTGGTAATGGATTATTATTGACTTGGGATTATCCAAATAAAAAAGTTATTTCTAAATTTACCAAACCTGAAACATTTAAATGCATAGCATATTTAGATAGAGCTTTATTTATTGGAACTGAAGAAAATAATATTCATAGTTATAATTAAGAGAATAATTTTGAAGACATTGACAAACAGTATTAAATGATAGATGTTAATCAAGAAATAGATGACGATTATATGAAAAAGATTTTAGAGTAAAACTAACAAATATTACAAGAATTTCAATAATAATAATAATAATGATTCAGTTACATATTCAACAATTAATTGATTATTATATTTACTCTTTTGATCTATTTTAAATTGTTTCATATATTCCATTCTTAATTGTATTAATTGTATAATTAACATTTCCAATCTATTAATCAAAAATCAAATCATAAATTTATTGATAGTCAGTAACGAAATATAGATTAAGTCCTTTTAATAATTAGGTTGGTAAATTTAAAGCATCCCCTAAATTAGCATAAGGTAAAATGATATCTACAATATCAAGTGTTTTTGCAGCAATAAGTTTTTATTAGAGACCACCTTAGATAATAATATAGAATACCAATTTTACAGACTTGACCATTTAAAGAGATTTCTCCAGTCATAGCTAAGTTACTAGGAACAGTAAAGTTAGTAACTAAACTTATTAAGGCAGTTGTTATAGCTGTTCCTGCTGATGGTCCATCTTTTGGAGTAGCTCCTTCTGTAAAATGCATATGAATAGCTTTTTTCGATAATGATTATTTTTATTCTTCATTAAGATATTTATAAGCATTAATTTTAGCTAACTTTAAAGATTCTTATAAAACTAATTTAATATTTCCAGATGCTATAATTTATCCTTTTTTCTCAACTTCACTTTCATCAAAACAACTTTCAACTGTTAAAACATGACCAATCATTCCTCCTACTGTTAGAATATTAACTTAACCAGGTGGAAACTTTTTAATTGATCTTTATTCTAATTGAATATCAAAAATAGGAGGACCTAAATATTAAGAAATAAGTTCTAAATTTTTATCTTTTGTTAAATCTAGACTTTAAATTGTAGGATCAAACTAAATTTAATTTAATTCATCTACTTTTTCACATAAATTAGGATTAGCAATTAATAAATTAGTTGCATGTTTTCTTGCAATTTTTTCTAAACATCTTTTTAATTCTCTAACTCCACTCTCCTAATAACACCAAGCTTTGATTATTTTGATAAGTGTTTCATTATCATATTTTATCATTGATTATTTTATACCATTACTTTCGATACTTTTATTTACAAGAAAATTATTAGCAATTTATAGTTTTTCTTCTTAAATATATGCTTAAATATCAATAGTTTCTAATCTATTTTTAAGTGGTTCCAACATTTATAATGTGTCATTTGATGTTAAAATAAATATTACATGAGAAAAATCTACACTTATATCCATATAATGATCAGTAAAATTATGATTTTCTTCAGGATTTAAAATCTCTAATAAAGTATAATATGGATCAGCACCACCAGCTTGATGTTTTGAAACTTTATCTAATTCATCTAAAATAAAGACAGGATTCATAGTATTTGATTTAATAAGTTCTCTAATAAAAACGCCTGGCATAGAATCAACATAAGTTCTTTTATGTCCCTTAAAGAATGTTGAATCAGCAACTCCTGCACAAGATATAAATCTTGAATTTCTTTTTAATGCCTTGGCAATACTCTTTGCTATAGATGTTTTACCAGTTCCTGGAGGACCATTCAAAAGTAGAATAAATCCTTTTGCTTTTTAACCTGCATTCTTTAATTTATTAACTGATATCATTTCAATTATTCTTTCTTTAACTTTTTCTAATCCCTCAATTTCATTATTAAGAACTTCTTTTGCATATTATACATCCCATTAAACTGCCTAAAAATATTAACTATTTTTATTACAGTAAATTTAGAAAATGGAATACTAAAAACTTCATCTAAATAAGAATTAATCTTATGGAATTCTGAACTTTGTTTATCAAGAAGACTAAATCTTTCAATTTCTTTTTTCACTTTATCTCTCGATGCTTCATCTGGAATCAAAGAAAGTCTATCTTAATATTTCTTAACTAAAACCGATTATTTTTACTAAATTATATAAATTCAAACCTTTTCTCCAACTTAAGATTATGATCCAGTTGATCCACCATAAGAAGATGATGTAGTTGCATCCTTTAAATAATTCTATCTAATGTATTCTGTTGCTAATTTAGCCAATGTTTATTAATGTAATTTCAATAAGGATGAATCTGATTCTTTAAAATGTTTATTTACTAAATCTAAAACTCCTGACATATTTTCTAATTATTTTCTTAATATAAATAATCTTTCAACATATGATTAACTCTCTAATAATTATTAGACGAATTAAGATGTATTTAATTTTAAATTATTAGTTTGTAATTTTGAAAGACCAGCAGCAACTTAATATACCAATTCATCTATTTTTGTTGGTGTTAATTTTTCACTTGATTCTAGAAGTGTTTGTTTAACATCTGTAAATGCTTCAATTCTATCAATTTAAGCTGATTTTCTTATCTAAAATACAAGAGAACTTATCTATTGAACTTCATTCTTAATGTCAATCTATTATTCTGCTTAAGTGAGAGGTCTATCTTTATATGGTATTCCTTGAGCAAATATACCATCTGGAGTCATTTCTATTTTTATTATTTTGTATCGGTAATTTTTCTATCTTATTGCTTTAAACATTTACAGACTTTGAAATTATATCTAAATTAAATGTATTGCTCATTGGATCATTTATCAGAATATTTCCATTTACATCTCTTTACTCTATAACTTTAAGTTCGGTATTTAAACTTTTTTCAACCTATTTACTCAAAGCAATCCCAATGGTAAAGATTTCTCCATTATTAGGTGAAATTATTGTATAAAGAAGTGGTTTTGTAATACGTTTTAGATTTCCTATCTTTATTTGGCAGTTCATTTAATTATTTGGAAAAATAGGCTGGACTGAACTAAACAGACAAAAATCAGTAGGGTTGGTTTTAGAGTCATTCTCATCAACATTACATTAGTAATTTTAAAGTGGGATAGTTTTCAATTTTATATTAGAGTTATTATTATTCTAGCCTATATTAAACTTCAAAAACATATTACTACTACTACTACTAAATCCATGAATGCATTTCTATCGTAAAGGAATTCCATATCGATTTATCCATAATTAAGGTCTGCGAAAAAGGAATCTACTCAAACTACGCATTTCAGATATTTATATATTTAAAAATATTTTTATTTTAGTTATTGTATATTTTAATGGGATGCTTAGGTTAATTTATTTTCTAATATATTTAAAATTATTTTATGAAGTATTTATATTTCTAAGTGAATCGATTCATTTATAAACTAGTTATTTTATAGTAATAGTTTTTGTTCTCATATTAACTTAATTAATAGTAATATAAATTAAATAAAATCATTTAATTCTTAATTTTATTTATTTTAGTTATTGGTTATTTGAATATCATTAAATAAGCTGTTGTTGCGATTTTGATCTCTATTAAATTTTACATTTTATGAATATGATATCTATAGGATTAAAAATGTTTTATATTAGAAGACAATTTGTTTAAGTTAGCTCATAGAATTTAATCATATATATTGTTATTAATTTATTTATGTAAAATAATATAATTTAGAAATAACAATAGAATACTAATTAATATATATATATATTTATCAATAAATCAAATCAATCTACGATTATCAATAATACTTTTAATATAATACACTTGCCATACACTCACTGAAACTATGATTATGGTTTCAAGAATGGTAAAATAAAATAATCTTTAATGAGTAGTTTGCATTTATTCATAACCATTTTCTCTTCTCTATTAGGAAAACTTGGTTTCAAACATTATGTCATTGACTCCATTTTATAAATGCTGAATCTATTTCATTAGAGGATCTAAATCATGATGTTTGATATGCTCATAAGTGGCATTATGAATATCTAAGGCAAATGTTACCATTTGATCGCTACTGCCTCTCTCATTATCAAACATAAATTAATAATCTCCAGGTTCAGTTATGTTAACTGAAAAAACTGCTTCCTTCTTAGCTGCCTTACTACTTATAATATTTCCTTTCGGATCTTTAATCTATTCAATAATGATTTATTATTACTAAGAAATTTATTTTCTCTTTGGTTGTCATACTGATAAAATATGCTCCTCTTATTGTTGTTGGATGATGAATTCCCTCTTCCATTATTTCTATTGTGCCTTGCTTTAATTCAAATGCTATCATATCATCAGGTATAAAGTCTTGCATCATCAATTCCCATTCTTGCATAAGATCTTTTCTATCTTATCTATCCTCAATTACATCATTCATGATGTTATCATCTTAGCCCAATATTATGCCAAATAATAAGAAAATTATAGAGATCATATAAATAAATTATAAAATAACTATATATTTTCTTAAATATAAAACGATGATGTCATAATAATTCTATGCTTATCAAGATTTATTAAATATTGTAAATATATCCTCACTATTTTAGTGTCCTTAATTTCCTACAGATAAAATTGAAGCTCTTAAAGATTCATTTTTTTTTTCATAATTATTTAATTAAAACTCTGTTCCCAATTTAGTACATATACTTACATTATCAAAACCAAAATGTTTTTCCATTAATAGTTCTATTCGAGATAGTTCATAAATAATATTTATTAGTCTTAGCTTTTTAAAAGCTAAATCAAGATGTCCTTAATATTATTTTATAAAATTTTCGTTTTAATTCCCTTCATTACTTTAATTAGTGGATATTATCTTCCCAAAGAAGTTTCTTTTAATTATTATATTTTTTAAATTTGGGTAGTACATATGAAGAATTTCAGTTACCATCTCTTCTTTAAATTGTCGATTATTTATAAAAAATGCTAAATACTTCAATAAAAATATAACTTAAACAATTGATCCTATATATGCCAAAACTGCACTTAATTTTGGCATAATAATTCTTTCTGAAATTTGTAAACTATCAATGCTTATCTAATATGCAAAAATAGCATTTAACTCAAATTTCTATGAAGAAAATGATGAAGCAATATTTTATATATACAAATTATCAATAGATTAATTAATTAAGTAGAAATCGTTGATTAATTTATAAGTAACCTCATTTTAAAATAGAAGTCCATTATCAAGATTTATTTCCTTTTATTAAATTGCTATTTATGTATATTAAATATAAGTGGGAGAAAAAGCTTAATAAGATTACTTTGTTATGTATTCAATTTAATCTTTCTTAAAGCTATATTGTTCCAACTTCATAATTATTGACAAAAATCCATGATACCCTTCCATATACTAATCTATTTCTTATTAACTCGCACAATTACTATTTTGATCTAAATATTATTCTGAGCATTAAATAAATATCAATAAATAATTTTTTATTGGTTTTAGTGATTCATCAGACTTTTAAGTATTTAAATTATTAACAACTAATGTCCCTTTTTTTAATCCTACTGTAAATGGTTTATTTTCATCACTAAATAAAGGTAATGGTGCACTAACAATTTTAAAATTTTCAACAATAAATAATAAAGGAGTTATTATGTTATTTAATCTTTTAAAAGGATCATGATTAGATGGATCTGATAATTTGAATTAAATAAAGTTATCTTCCATTTCTTATTCTGTATAAGCCATTGCTTATTAATTACTTGTAATTGTAGGAAGTATATTACCATTAGCCCATTCTTAAATAACATATGCAAAATAGGCTAAACTAAGAAGTGAAACTAAGATTGAGATAAGTCCACTGTAAAAACTTGAATATTATTATTTTGAATCATTTGTTAGCACAGGAACTGGTATACTAAATAAGTCAATCTATTTTAAGAGATCTTTTAATTATTTAGGTAATGATGCCATTAATTTGTATTAATTATTAAAATTACAAATAATAAAACTTATAAGTAATCGATACTTTCAAATATATTTTCCTGGCATAAATGATTTTCTTATATTTATTTATTTCTTCATTTAAGTTTCCTTAAATCCTTAGAATACTTTGTAATTTGAATAATTGAATTTCTTTTGGTAAAATTTAAAATTTTAAGGTTCATCAAAGTAATCTAATCCCTAATGTATTGAATATTCATGTTAATCTCTATATTAATTAAGTTTTGTTTATAAATTTTTAAGACTATTTCTCTCTACTTCTTTTGATTCTTGAACTTAGGATTCTTGAACTTAGGATTCTTGAACTGAGGATTAAACATTTTCTTCTTAATATCTTAAAGAATCATCCTATATTGATTCAGATTTGATTATATTTAATTTAGAATCACCAAAAGATTACTCCCTTTATTGTATACTTGTTTATTTCTTTAAAGGAGAATTTGATGACTTTTATTAATTTATATTTCTTGCAGTTTTCAACTAATTCAATAAAAATTATCAAATACCATAACATTAGCATATTTTTGAATTTTAGATTTATTCAAACCATTTACTAATATTTTTTAATTCTTTCTAGTTGGCCATTATTTTCTATCATATCTTTATATTTTAATTCTTTCTTAATTTGTACCTATAATAGTTGCATTATCAACTAAATGCTAAACTTAAGGAATATAATGAGTAAATGGACATGAATTTGCATAATGATCAAATTTATGACAAGTCCAACAAAATTAACCAACTGTTTCAAATTGTTNTGATTAGATGGATCTGATAATTTGAATTAAATAAAGTTATCTTCCATTTCTTATTCTGTATAAGCCATTGCTTATTAATTACTTGTAATTGTAGGAAGTATATTACCATTAGCCCATTCTTAAATAACATATGCAAAATAGGCTAAACTAAGAAGTGAAACTAAGATTGAGATAAGTCCACTGTAAAAACTTGAATATTATTATTTTGAATCATTTGTTAGCACAGGAACTGGTATACTAAATAAGTCAATCTATTTTAAGAGATCTTTTAATTATTTAGGTAATGATGCCATTAATTTGTATTAATTATTAAAATTACAAATAATAAAACTTATAAGTAATCGATACTTTCAAATATATTTTCCTGGCATAAATGATTTTCTTATATTTATTTATTTCTTCATTTAAGTTTCCTTAAATCCTTAGAATACTTTGTAATTTGAATAATTGAATTTCTTTTGGTAAAATTTAAAATTTTAAGGTTCATCAAAGTAATCTAATCCCTAATGTATTGAATATTCATGTTAATCTCTATATTAATTAAGTTTTGTTTATAAATTTTTAAGACTATTTCTCTCTACTTCTTTTGATTCTTGAACTTAGGATTCTTGAACTTAGGATTCTTGAACTGAGGATTAAACATTTTCTTCTTAATATCTTAAAGAATCATCCTATATTGATTCAGATTTGATTATATTTAATTTAGAATCACCAAAAGATTACTCCCTTTATTGTATACTTGTTTATTTCTTTAAAGGAGAATTTGATGACTTTTATTAATTTATATTTCTTGCAGTTTTCAACTAATTCAATAAAAATTATCAAATACCATAACATTAGCATATTTTTGAATTTTAGATTTATTCAAACCATTTACTAATATTTTTTAATTCTTTCTAGTTGGCCATTATTTTCTATCATATCTTTATATTTTAATTCTTTCTTAATTTGTACCTATAATAGTTGCATTATCAACTAAATGCTAAACTTAAGGAATATAATGAGTAAATGGACATGAATTTGCATAATGATCAAATTTATGACAAGTCCAACAAAATTAACCAACTGTTTCAAATTGTGAAGAAAAGATTAATCCATCTCTTAGATTGCAAAATATTTCATAATCGTCAGGATAGTGTTGTAATATTTCTAAAAAATCATTTCTTGATATTTTATGTAATTAACTATATTCTTATGAATAAGCTGTGGCTGTTCTTGCTTGTCCTTTTATTTTAAATTCTAAATTTAATACCTGTTATAAAAGCAAATTCACCAAAACTATCTCCTTTTATCAATTTCTTTTTGACAATATCAGAATTACCACATTTAATAATAACAGTTCCACTTTAGATAAAATAAAAGCTTTGATCATCATTTGAATCACCTGCTTCAATTATCATATTTCCAGTTGAATAATTAACTTCTGTTATTTTTTCTGAAAGATCTTTTAAAAAAGCCTTAGAAAAATATTTTGAGAAAAAAGTAGTTTATAGAAATTATCCATATGATTAATACATTAATTCTTATTTTAATTCTGGAGCTAACATTTGAAAAACTAATATTTCCTATTCTTGATCTCTAAGTCCTTATTAATGCCAATATTCATTAAGATATTATCTAATTATTTCTTATAATTCAGAAGGTACTTACTTTTATTCCATAAATTTATTGATACTTACTTTATATTTAAATTGTTTAAGATCATTTAAATTATATTCTTCCATCATTTTTTAAAAAGAGTTGATATTATTAGCAAAAATAATTAGACCAAACATAACTCCTAAGAGTGACCAAGAACATTCTATAATATTCATTGGAGACTAATAAATTTAACATAAAATTTACAATATCACCATAACCCATAGTAGTTGATACTGTTCCTAAAGAAAAATAGAATCCAAAAAAATATATTTCATGGTATGGTCGATCCATAATAATACCAAAATTACCTGGATTTGTTAACCAAGAATTATAATTTGATGCTACACTATGTAATCCAATTAGATAGAACACACATAAAAATACATTGAATGCAAAAAACATAAAAATTACTCTTTTTCCTACTTCATAAAACACTCTTGTTCTTCTATAAAGTAATACCATTTCATTCAATTGATCATCAAATCTTAAAAATGAAGGTAATTTAAAGTAAAAAATTAAAAAGATAAATCTGTATTAAGAAGTAAATAATGATAATCTAGCAATTGAAATGATTAACTAATTTAATTTAATTAAATTTTACAGCTATTAGATCAAAGAAGAAATTCCCATATAAATAATTTATGGCTATTTTTCGACTGTCAGTAATCACAACTCCATGTTTATAATAAGCAGTTATAAAGTCTAAACCCATATCTATAACAAGAAGAAGAGATATTGTATAATATAAAGCAGCAACTAACTTAATAGTGTCTAATTCCTTTAAATAGATAATTTTATACTTCCCAGAATTTTTCCCCAAATGCTATATACACTGGGATTTCAAAAAAAACAAATAATGTTAATAAATTGATGAATAGTTTCCACAAAATTATTTGTTTTGGTCTCAAAATTGGTAATTAATATAAAATATCTATAATATGATATTGTATTTACTTAATTTCTTTTATACTCCTTCTAAACTATCATTATATAATTAACGAATTTTCTCCAAAATATATTATTATGACTGTTGTTATTATTTCTCTGCCCTTTCTTCTAAATCTAATTTAGCTTTATTCTAGAATTATTTTCCATTTGAGATAATATCTGAAATATCTAAATGAAATTCTTCTTAATTATTTATTGAAGATTCATTCAACAATGATTCTTAAATAGAATCTCTGTGCTAAAGTTCCATTTGTTAACCTAATGATGACATCAAAATTTTATTAGTTTCTAAATTATTAAAAATATATAACCATATAAACCTTATTCAATCTTAAATTAGTTATTATGTCATTCCATAACTTTATTAAAGAATGACTTAATCTTTATTCATAATTGCACAAATATTAAAATATTAGAGTTGAGACTTAAAATGATATATAATTATAGATATAATGAAAATGAAAATGAATGAAGATTTTTTATTATTAAAGTTCTTTCCCTTATTATGATCAAAATATTTCAGAGAAATATATATTAATCCTTTTGTTGTTGTAAAAATAGTCATAAATTATGATTAAAATCAATGAGGTTAATTAAATCATAGCCAAGATAGAATTATTAAAGTTTTATAAAAGTTTTAGGAATATTTAATTGATAAGTGCAAGCTGGTTATTAATAAATATAATGAAACGAGAAAATTTAGAATAAATTTAATTTGTAAATAAAAAAGATAAAAAAGCGCTAATGGAAGGGTTTGAACCTTCGACCTGTTGGTTAACAGCCAACCGCTCTGCCGACTGAGCTACATCAGCGTATTCGATCTATTAAATGATAAAAAGAATTAATATTGAAAGAAGAAATAGTATGAATATAATAATAATGATAATGATAAAGTATAATCATAATTATGAAAATAGTTATAATTTTTAAGTGTTTCACCTTTAATTATACTCAAATAATTATTCTTAATTTATTCTTTAAATTGCTTTATATAAATAATGCAAAAATAGATAAATAAATTCAAATATTCTTAAAAGCATGCTCCAAATCTTTTATTAAATCGGTGACATGTTCTAATCCTGCTGATAAACGTATGAGATTTTAAGTTATTCCAAGTTCTTGTCTTTTATCCTCAGTTAAACCTGAATGAGTCATTTTTGCTGGTATTTATATTAAACCTAAAATAGAAATAATACAATACTTTCTACACCTCCCAAACTAACAGCCATAGTGAACAATTCAAGTCCTTTCATCAATCTTTCTACTTCAGCAGCTCCTCCTTTTATATAAAAACTTATCATTGCTCCTCCAGCTCTCATTTATTTTCTTGCTAATTCATATTAAGGATGACTCTCTAATCCTGGATACAATACCTTTTCAACTTTTGGATGACCTTCAAGGTACTTAGCTAAAATATAGGCATTCTTAATTTATTATTTCATTCTGACTTCAAGAGTTTTTAAACTTCTTGTAACTAAGTAGCAATCAAAAGGACTTGGGCAACCTCCTGTTAAATAAGAGATCTTAAATAAATTGTCATATAATTCTTTATTTCGACAACTTAAAGTACCAAATAAAATATCAGAATGTCCTCCTAAATATTTTGTACCTGAGTTTAATGTAATATCTGCTCCTAGAATTGAGGGTGTTTAAAGATAAGGTGTTGCAAAAGTATTATCTACTGCAACAACTACATTATTTTTAATTTATCTCACTATTTAACAAAGTTCCTTAATATCAGTTAATTTCATTGTAGGATTAGTTGGAGTCTCTAAATACACAAGTTTAACATTTTCATTCATTTATTTTCTGACTTCATCAAGATTTGTCATATCTATAAATTTAACTTTTATGCCATGTTTTTCCATAGCTATGGCTTTTAAGTATCCAATTGTTCCTCCATATAAATCATCCATAGCTAACATTTCATCTCCTTCTTTTAATAAGTTAATCACACATTAGATAGCAGCCATTCCAGAACTGAATGCTATTGCATAATTATTTTGTTCAATTTCTGCCACTATTTCTTCTACTACTGTTCTTGTAGGATTCCCACATCGAGTATAAAAATAACCTTTTCCAAATGAATCTACATCTTTCAATTCAAATGTTGAGCTCATGTAAATTGGGGGATTTATTGCTCCATGCGCCTAATCACAAGTTTTATGAATAGTTTTTGTTGCTATTGTGAATTCTGTGTCAAATAAATAATCTTCCTCTTATACTAACATATCTATATTATTATTTAAATCTTATTTGACAATTGGATTTTAATAATTGGAGCTCATGCGTACTAATTTGATGATGCGTCATAATTCTAAATTTTTAGTTTCTATATATTTAATTAGTTTAAAATATTATGATTTCAGTATTTAAGTTGTAGTGTATTAGGAATTCAGAATCTACTAACTAAGATACTATAACATTAAGAAACAAATATGATATTTCAATAATTATTATAAACCAATTCATTCATTATAAATTATAATAACTAATAAATTGAATATCATTAAATGAATTATTCTCTTTTTCCAAATTTTTCTTCCTACCGTCTTATTCAAACTTTTCCTATATAAAATAACTTTTTGCTTTTATTTTGTTTTTATCATCCAATCTTATAAGAAATTCTAAGCTTCAAATACTTATTTATCATTTATTAAATAGAGTAACTGTAAACTATAATAAAATATTTAAATTGATTAGGGATGTAGTAAATATAGTTTCCTTAATAAATAAATGCATTCAGCTTCTGTAATAATCAAAGAATATGCATAATTTTCTAAATATAATTATAAAATATGTTTAAAATTTATTATAATTTTTTTTCTTAACATTTATCATTTCCTCCTAAACAGGTCTTATTTTTCATTAAATTTAGGAAAGGAATATAATATGATATTGAATATTAATTGTAAGATATATTTTAATAATATTCGTATTGTGAATAAATACATTACGTAATCTCATTTTTATGGGGGTATTATATAAGAATATTTGGCAAATTTAAATCCGAGATATTTTGTCGATATAATATTATCAATGAAATCAATACTTATTGCCCTTCTTGTTATTGCAGTCATCGCTGATGAAGCTTGTGTTAAGGAAAAATGCCCAAAGGAATATAATGCTTGTGTTGCAGAAGTCTTTGGTTGTGCTTCAAAGGCTTTAGGATGCAAGAATAAATGCGGAGAAACAGACCCATGCTATGGAAACTGTGTTTATGAATCCAAAAATTAGAAATTGATTGCCTTGTAAATATTTATCAAGAAATTATTAGATATGAATGCGGTAAAATTTATTGCCCAAATTCTGCCTATTGGAATCACATTCTTAATGGATGTAATGTTGAATAATGTGTTGCTGACTTCTAAGCTGAATGCTTATCATCAGTTAACCTAAGATCAGTAGAATGCTTAATGAGTTTTTCATAAAACCATCCTGAATGCGATTGCTTAAATGAATGATGCTATTATACAGTTTAAATTTCATATATATACAAAAAAACAGATTTTTTCTAGTAGTCAAAGACACCTTTCGTAATTAATTCAAATTAGATTAATAATATATTATTAAATTTAATGTCTGAATTAGAAGAGCTCTAATAAGATTTATTAGAAATCTAATAAGTCCTTTCAACTCTCAAACGCAAATCCAATATTGATTATCTAAATAATAGAATCAAATATTTAGAAAACTCTATTAAAATACTAACACCATAAAAAGTTGAATAGCCACAATAACCTTAATAACAATAGAAAGATTAAGAGATTCTCCTATATCAAGGGATTACAAAATATGCTTGGGATTAAGAAGGCAATAAAGTCAAAGTATTTTTGAATTTAGAAGGAATTGGTTAACTACCTAAAGAAAATATTACCACATAGTTTACATCAAACAGTGTAGATGTTAAAATCAAAGGTTTTAAAGGTTTAAATCAAAGGTTAATGATAATATATAAATTTTAGATTTTCTATTAAGAAAACATTTGATGAATTGAAAGATAAGGAATGTTCTATTAAAGTAACAAATAATTCAATTGTTCTTAATTTAATTAAGAAAGACTAAAAGAACTGGGAGTAATTAAACTATAAAGAGAAATTAGTAAATAATGATTTATATACAGGTTGACACAGATCCTTCTAAATTAGATAAATAAGATCCATAAGCATCTTTGATGAATATGATGAAAGAAATGTATCAGAATGGAGATGATGATATGAAACGAACCATCGCATAAGCTTGGAGTAAATCATAAGAAGAAAAAGGGTTTAAATGAGTATTAGAATAAATAATTATATTTGTTAAATGTTTCTATTTTTATTAAATAAAGTCTAACACTTTAAGAATATAAAAAGAATAAATCTAATATAAACAATAATTATTGACAGATCATTTACTAGCTTCAATTAAATCTTAATCTAATTGTGTTTCATTGATTTCTTAATCTACAACAAAACCTTCATCTAACAAATTATCAAAATCTTTATCACTTATCAATTCTAAAAAATTGAATAAATTTTCTACCATGTTACTAAACTTTTGGTTTTGCATTATTCGTTTATGCATTTTTTAAATCATTCAATTATTTCTATAACTGCTTATCTCTTTGATTAATCTCATTAAACTTTTTAATTGCTTCTTTCAAATCTTATTCTTATTGTTCTACTTATTTTGTAAAATCTTCATCAATTTCTTCTATCAATTATTCATTCTCTTGCAGCTAATCATTTTTATTTCACTATCTACTTAGATGTATTATGATGATTGCTTTTCAACTTCCTTTTATCCTACTCCTTAGCCAATTTTGAAACAAATTACAGAAATTACTACTAGTAATGCCAAGTGTAATATTTCCATTAATTGTAATTTTTAAATAATAATTCATAAATATTCTTATTTCATATTCATTTTCTTAAAATAAATGTCAACTTTATTTTATAAGAACAATTTTTTATGCAATTCAATATGATGAAAAGTAAAAATAAGTTTACCAAATCACTTTTATTTCTCTATTTAAACTTAATTATAAATTTTTTATATCAATTATAAAATAAGAAAATAATATTCTCAAATTTTCAATCCTAAATAGCCTTAATTTAAGGATAGTATCAATTATGGATTGGATGTTTAAGTTTTCACCCTTCTACCCTCATTATTAACTTAGTACAATTACTTAAATTAATTTAATTGTTTTTCTTATTTCTTTTGCATCATTATTATTTGCTCTAGCTTTTCCATCAAGACTTTTCTTTCCTTACATATAATTTTTCATACCTGCATATTATTATGATCGTTTTGATGTTGTTTCAAATTTTCAAAAAGTATTTTATTTAGTAATTCCAATTAATCAGATTTATTTAATAATTATTAAGTTTAATAACAAAGTTGAATTAATTTATTTTCTAATAGTTTCTCTTGTAATAAGATGCTTGCATTTTAAATAAAATCTTTTTTCTCTTCTTTTCTTAGAGTATGTATATAATTACTATCAGTTCTATTTCTTATTGACCATATCTAATTTATTTGTCTTACATGACTTTTTTTTTTTAATTTATGAATGATCTCATCTTTTTTGTTTTGAGGATGATTTTCAATAATAATGGGTTCTACTTCTTTATAGCTTTAACTTCCAATAAAAATTGATTTTGAAATTTGCTTAGCTAAATTTCCACTTTTTGCTTTAGTCTTATTTTAATTATAACCATTCAGGGTTTCTTTTGTTTGTTTGAAATCTAATAATTTCTAAAGTAGATCATTTGAAGTTAATCGAAATTGTTTATGTTTCTTTTAAGTTTTAAGAGGATATGAAATACATTTTTACATATAAATTGATCTTTATATTTTGATATATTATAATAATCACATATTTAGAAAATCGATTAAATCCTTTTTATTATTTTATGAATACTATTGATTAGTGTATTATTATTGCGGTTATAAATAAATCTATTGATTTTAATTATTTTGAGATTGATTATAACAATATTATGGTTGCTGTTATGGAACCTAATTATTAACTTAAGGTTATTGATATAATTATTGAGGAGAATTAAGCAAATTTATTGTTTATTAATATTATTAATTATTTTAGAACTATTATTATTATTATTATTATTATTATTATTATTACTAATCTTTTTTTTTTAAGAATCCAAAGGCATTCTTTTTTGGTTAAGCTTACTACTAATTAGTTATCTATTAATTAAGTAAATCATCAAAACTTATTCCATTTTAAATTTATTATTATTATTAATTAATTTATTAAGATGATTACTATTAATATTATTATTATGGTTATTAGATTAATTATTATTAATTGTAATTTTCTAAAGAAATATCACTAAATGCTTCTAGTAAATTAATTTATTGAGTATTTTTATATTAATTTTATGTTTGTTATTAAATTAAAGGTTATTATTATATTAAAGGTTATTAAATTTAAGGTTATTATTATGTTTAAGCAGTAGGTTATTTAATTTTGAGTTACTTTAAATTAAGTTTTTGTTATTGCTATTTTTATTATGATGAATCATTAGAAGGAACATCTAAAATATCAATTAAATTTGGCTATTAAGTCTAAGAAGTTTATTATGGTTTTGGTGGTTCTCTAAATTCAAATAAAAATTCCTATTAAACTAAATATAAATAATTACCTTTTGTTTTTAAATTGATTAACCATTAATTTCAGCTAAAGTTTAATCAATAGCTCCTGATAGTAATTATTAATCTGTTTCAACTCTCAAATATTATTAATTGACATAGAAGAATTCTCTATAGTTTTAATACTATTAACACACATATTGTATAGCATATATACATCTCTAATAATTGAATGGAAATATTACAATTTGAACTTTCCAGTTATCTTCACTATGCAATTTATTTAAGAGTATGCTTCCTATAAGTTATTCTTATATAGTTGTAATAGCTCTTGCAAATTCTTTTAGAACAGCATCACTTTATTTTAACTTGATACCACCCAATTTAATGGCTTCATCAACTAAATGGAATTCGTGATTACTTAATATTATGTCATTAATTACAATTCTCCTTATTCTAATTCTTCAAAAGTTAATAGCTATCCTTATCTATACTCTGTAATCCTGCTCAATTAAATATTTCCTATAACATTTTAAGGAGGTAATATAACATCATGATTAATTTTTTATTCATTTTACTTAGGTGGAGTATCATTTAACAAATTAATTGAGTTAGTAGCTTTATTATTTGAAATATTAGTTTTCTCACTCTAAGTTTAAGTTTCATCATCCCAACCTTTTTTATAATAAATATATTCTTACCTCCACCAGGTCTTCCTTTTTATCTTGGTTAATTAGATTATGGTAATTAAACTGCAGGGATTATTGGAGGTTAATAAGTACCAGCTTATTAACCAAAAGATGTATTTTCTAATTTAATCCCAGCTGGAGTATCAGATGTTGTTTATTTCTTAAATCTATTTAATATAGAAGACATCTTTCACTTTAATTAACTAATTTAATTATTATTTTAGACAAATTTTGTAAATAAAATTATGATTAATAATATTCATGTAAAATTTTTAGATAATAATAAAGATATTTATAAATTAATATATTTTTGAACACTCTTATAAATCATTTTTTATCCTTTTTCTTTTTTGTACCTTTTTATCCTTTAACTGCTTATTAACTTTTGAGCTCATCTTCTTCTTATTTAGCTTCAAGAGCTTTTTATTTCTCAAATTCAAGTCTAGCTTCTTTTTATCTTTATCGCAATTCATCTAGATTATCAACCTAAATGCTAATTTTTAAGATATACAAAATTTTCCAGAAAATTTTCCTCATCTAATGAAAAATCTTCTTTTTCTGATTCCAATATTTAACTTTCTTCAGTCTAACCTTTTAATTTTTCTTTTTTTGCTAAATTCATTAATTTAAATTAAGCCAATATTTTTTATTTCAAAATTTCAGCAGTTTCATCTTTTAAGGAAGAATCACTAACTCTATTATCTAAATCATCATGATTTAATCTAGCAATATGTGATTTTAAGTTTTAACTAATTTAAATGATAAATTTTACACTTTAATAAGATTATGAATAATATCATCATTAACTTATCCAGCTTAAGTTAATCTTCTTTAATCAACAGGAACTTTAAAATAGATATCAATTTCATTCATTTATAATTTATTTGCATCAACAAATAATTCTTTATCTTAAAGTAAAACAGCATGTTCTTTGAATAATTATTTACCAGTTTTAGCAAATGATTAATATTCTAATTCTAATTTCAATTTTCTTAGATTATCTACTATATTTTTAGCTTGATTATCTAATTTATCTATTTTTTCATCTATTAATTTTTAAGCTTCTTAACTTTAATCTTCATTTTTAAGCTTAACTAATGTAAATTCATCTATTTTTCTATATAACCATTTTATTTATAATCTAGCTAATCTTTCATTAGGTGTTTCAAATAATGCATAAGTATTTTAAGCTTTGATATTAGCATCTTGTAAAACTTTCTTAACTGCATATTCTGCATCTTCATTTATATTTCTCCTTTTTAATTTTTATTCTTCTAATCTTTCATCAAGTTCTTTCTATAAAGTATCTAAATGTTCATGATGAGAATATTCAAAATCAATTTGTTCATATAATTTTGCATGATAAAATATTGCCTTCTCTATTTAATTCTTAATTTTTTCAGGAACATCTTCAGGCATTAAGAAATCCCCTTCATCATCTAAAGTTATATTATATTAATCTAAGATTTTAAGATATTTTGCCAATCTCCTCTTTATCTTTTATGGTGATTATCTAATATTTTATAGAATCTATTTATCACTAAGACCATTCAATTTATCTTATGTTGAAACTCTCCTATAATAACAATCAAAAACATTTGTTGCTCTCTCTTTAAATAATTCTTAATCTTATTTATGAGTAGTCTCTTCTGGTTTATCATCATGATGAACTACTTTTATTAATGATTTTCTGTAATTATCCATTAAAGCTTAAGTTTCAGGATCCATTGGTGAATTTTTTTCAAATTCTTATATTTATAAATCTCTTAATAATCTATCTCTTTTTAATCTCTAATCAAATTCTATTTCTTATTAAGCTAATGTCATAAATGATCTTGCTTAATTTGTTATTGCTAAATTATTAGCTATTTTTGTTTAATCTATTTTTCTTTACATCTTTGCCTAAAAAGCCATTTCTGCTTTTTCATATGCCTATATAAATCATATTATTAATATTACTTTATCAAAATGATATCCTTTTTTTCTCAATTAATTAAATAGCTTTAAAAATCGAAATAATGATCCTTCATTTTAACTTTCTCCTAAACCATCTTTCACTAATGGAGCATATTTAAGATCAGGATATCTGTGCATTAATTTATTAAGCACTTTTTGATTCTCTGTATCATTTACTTCCTCTCTTAATGGATATCCAAGATTTGTTTCAGGTGGTCTTATAGCATATACTATTGGATTATGTTTTCTTGGATTCAACATTTTTAACCTACGAAACATTTCAAATCCATCATAAAAAGGAAGTTTTGTATATTACCGTAAATACATTAAATTATTTTTAATATTTATATTGAATTTATATGAAAAAGCATTGTTCTCAAAATCTATTAAATATTTAATCATATATATTATCATAAAATTTATAGAACTCTGTTTTTCTTTCCTCTCAATTCATATTTTTTAGAAATATTAAATTTTCTCTTTGTTAAAAATTTCAAACTTTCTAAAGGAGTTTTACCAATTTTATTCATATTCTTACTCATATTGTTTTAAATTTTTAATATTTAAGAATCAGAAGGATACATCTTAGAAAATTGCTCTTATGCATCATCAAGCTTAATCAATTAAATTGTTTACTTAAGTTAAAAATTCACCAAACTAATTCTTTATATTCAAACTAATAGTTTAACGACTAGAATTATTTTGATGTGTATTAAATTTCTAAAAATTTTAAGGAGTTTTAAAATAATGAAGATTTTCAAACTTTCTATCTTCTCTCATTGATACAAATGAACCTTGTTTAATTTCAGGAAGAGTTGAATGATTTAGTTAGTATATTGGAGCAATTCTTCTTACAAGTGGATTAATTAATTTATCATTTACTTATGGAAATTTTAAATTATTGCTTTCACTTCTACTCTTTATTAACATGTGTTTTTAATTTCGAATTTCAAAAGAATTAGGATTTTATTGCTCAATTTCTTTCAGCTATTGTTATTATTACTTTAAAATCTTTTAATTTGGACGTTAAGGAAGTTTATTTTTGTATAGCATTTTAGTTGTTCTTTCTAAAAGTTATAAAACCTTTTAAGATTATTCTTTAAACTTTTTTCCAGCTTTTACTGTAAATTCATCTTTTCCAAAATCTAAAGGAATTGCTGCCTATATTTATTTATCTGAATTCATTGAATCTCTATTTCTCTTTCTATCTTTCTCATATTTCCTATCCATTTCTGATAATACATTATTATGATTAATATCAGTTATTAATTTATCAATTCCTGTATAGAATTTCTCATTTGTTGATCTTCCCTCCTCCATAGCTTTAGATCTTTAGCTATTTTCATTATCCATTTATAAATAACCCTCTATATTAGGTTTTGTTCTAAAATGTTGAGAGTTTGCAATAAATTTTTTACTTTTTGATACAATTTCTGCATAATCAAAAAGATCTTCATTATCACTATCTGAATGAGATTTTCTTATTGATTAAAGTAATTTTTTGTGATTTTTTTATATCTGTTGATCATTCAGATTTTTAAGAAATTATTTAACATCAATAAAAGTGTCCATTGATGTAAAATCTTTCATTTTCTTTTCGAAATGTTATTCTTTTGTTACTTTACTAATTTTCATCTTCTTTCTTTCATTTTATAAAACTTTTTGAATGTTCTCACTTTATAACCTATTTCCTTTAAAAATGATAATACTTTACTTTTAATGATATCTTCATCATGCTCTGAATCATCAAATATTAGTTGTTTAGTTCCTCTTTTTTTATCTATTTAAGCTTTAACAAATTTATAAAAATCTTGCTCAAAATCGAACATAATTAATTATTCCTATTTTCAACAAAAAAAGAAACATATTTGTATATAATCAATAATCTTATTTTCTATTAAGATAATATTTTTTTTTAAGAACATAATACTTTATATAAAAATAACAACAGCTTCAATAAAAGATTTTTAAATAATTTTAAATTAAGTTTAAGCAATCAAATCCAAATATATTTACTATGAGAGATATTTATTGAGATTATAACTAACATATAATAATAATACAATAAAATTTTAAGAATATATATTTTGCCTTATTTGATTGATAAATAATATATAAAATAAAAAAAAACTTAATAATTTGAAAAAGAGTTCAATGGTATTGGATTAATCCGAATTTCCAAGCACCATTGTAGAATTCTCCTTTTTAGTTAGAAAATGTTCCATTTCCAACTTATTATCCATCTTTCCATTCACCTTAAAATTTTGTACCATCATTCAAAATTAATAATCCATCTCCATTTTTAAGTCCATTTTTATATTGACCTTCATAAGTATATTTTCCTTTAACTTATAACTAACCAAAGCCTTGTTTTTTACCTTTATACCATTCTCCATAGTATTCTTTTTAACCATAATCCCAAACCTTATTAATATTTATATTAAAATACTAATTTTCCTTTTCCATGAAACTTGTCTTGATAAAATTGTCCTTCATAATAAGACCCATCATTAAAAATGAATTTTCCAACTCCATCCTTCAAACCTTTTTTAAATGTTCCAGTGTAAATAGATTTATCTTAATAAGTTTCAGTTCCTTCACCATGTTGTAAATTATTTTACCATTCTCCTAGTTTTCAATTAATATGAATTTACCTTCATATTTAATATTTTAAGTTGCATTAAAATAAGTACCTTTACCATTTATGTAGCTATTCTACCACTCTCCTCTATAATATGTTCCATCAGGTGCATAATAAAGTCCTTCTCCATTCAAATATCCATTCAACCACTTAATTTAAATATAATTCTATACCATGCCTTCTAAGTAACAACTATGATTATTTTATTCTAATACCCGTCATCCATCACCAATCTATCAAACCCAGTCAGTGACCCATTCTACCACTTACAACTTTTCTTTATTTTTGGCGACATCAAAATTGTAACATGTTCTTCTTGTTATTAAGCTACAGTTGATCTTTCTGTTATTGTTTATTAAACCTATTCAAAACAAATCAAGTCTTCATTCAATGAATTTTATTATTGTTAGTTATTATTTTCTTTTTATTTGTCAATCAGAATTCTCTTTCTTGTTATAATTCCTCTAAACCTTGCTTGAATTAGTGCTACTTATCTAAATGTTGGTTCTTATTTTAATATTTCTGGTTTTTATTGTTCTTTAATCTCTTTAGACTAGAATCCATTGCAAATTTAACAAGACCCCATTTAAGGAAATAATTAATTTTAAAACTGATTTAATCAATTAAATATATAAAATGACTTATGAACTTACTTCTTTCAACCACCTTCTTTTATTTTTAATTCTGATTTATTAATAAATTTAGGCAATCCTATTTTTAATGTATTTTCAAATGTAAAAAACTCTCTTCAATAACCTTACTAAGATCTGGAGAATTCTAAAAATAGAAATTTCCAAATCAATGCTAATCTTCATAAAATTTCAATTTTTCGATGTCATTATTAAATTAAAAAAATTAAAAAAACCTTATAAATTTATTTCTTTAGATTTTTGAATTATTTTTGAACATCATAATTTTATCTCAAAATTCTTTTATTCATTTAATAAATTTTTTTATAAATTTGATTTCAATTTTAGATCTCAAATATTGTAATATTGTATTTGACATTAGTTTTAAAAGTATTTTTTTCTAACTGAATATATTTCTTGAAAATGAAAATGATAAAATAATTAATTATTTAGAATTATCATAGTTTAGAATTAGTATATATTAAAGATGATAATGAAATAAAATTTAATAGTACTTACAAAATTTATTACTAATACATAAGATAATAATTTTATTCTTATTTTTGTTATAAATTTTTATAATCATTTGTCTTAAATGGGATAGTAAAGATCAATTAATTCTTTTCAAACCTTTATAATAATAATTATATTATACATTAAATTAATATCTATTTATTTTTAAATAATTCTTATTAATCAATGAATTCACCATTAATGACTATATATTTTATTTTAATAATCTTAGCCAATAAATCAATTTGGTTTATACAATAGGTTAAAGAATTCCTTTTTATTATCATTATCATGTACAACACGACCATCTTTTACATTAGTTTAATTTTAAATTCAAAACCTTAATTACATATTTCTTTCTTATTAATTAAAACTTAATCAATTTTAATCCCTATAATAAATTTAAATTATCGTTTCCTGTTAATCTATTATTCATCTCTTAATTAAGAATTTTATTATTCCCAGATGCATCTATATCTAAACCAGATCCAATATTGGATATAGCTCTATAAATTAAGAGAAAACAAGATTCAAAAGAATTATTAAAAGAGTTTTATGTGATAATAGTAATTAACCCCTTCATATTCTGGAATCTTTTACATAACAATTTAAATAGTTTCTTCAAATTTTTGATGAATAGCTAAAACAGAATAAGTAATATAAGGTTAGATTGAAGAATTTGTTAAATCTTGTTTAAGAATTAATTTCAAATTTAAATTTATAACTTTTAGCTTCTTTATATTGGACTGGAAGAGCAAATATACCTAGAGTAATCTTATTTATTTAAGATTAAAAAATGTAAAATTTTCATTTTCTAACTCCTGCATATTCTGCTTTTTATTAATCTTAATTTACCAATTTTTCAACTTCTAACCTTTTTGATATTCATTTTGAAAATACTCTTATTTTAGACATTTTATTATCATATCTAATTATTTACATTACTCTTTTTAGAACATAGATAAGTTTTTAGTTTACAAAATATAAAAAATAAATTGTTTATTATTTTCTTAATTTTGCTAAGATCATTTTAAAAAAATCCCATTTTCATCCATATTTAGGTAAAAATTTAATCAGCAATTGCATTAAAAATATTAAGTTAACAGTTATATCTAGTAGTTCCTATTTTAAAATAGTTAATTTAGCATTTATCAATTAAAGTGATCTCTTTGACTAATATTTTTTAATATATTTTCTTTTATTTCTTTGCTTATCTTATTGAAATGATCAAGATATTATGTTTCTTTAACATACCTTTCCAAGAATACCCTATTTAATCTCGAAGATCATTGTTTATTATTTGGGGAATTTGTTTTATTATTTTTTTTAATACTCTGATAAAGCTACTCAACTTAATTATTCAATAATATGATAAAGCTACTCAACTTAGTTATTCCCTTCCAGTGACCACATTTTTAGATTTTGAAACACTGAATTTATTTAAGGGAATAGTTTTCTTAAGTATTTTTTTAAGAGAGAATTCTAATATAAAATAAGGGTACCACCTAATTTTTATTTTGAATTCATTTAAAGAGATCGTTTTGTTAAAAATAAATCTCTTAAATTCCAAAAGGGATATATTGACGAATATTGCATCTTTTAATAATCCACTTAAGTAATATAACGAATAAATAAATCTCTTAAATAATCTCGATTTAAAGCTAGAAATGCACTTAGTTGAATTGGATTAAAGTAAGTATTGATTTTTAGTGAATCCTAATATTATTTTTATTCAAATGGCTTGAAAAATATACATATTAAATCTTAAATAAATTGTCTTAGGAGGTATAATAAATATTCTTATAGAGTAAAGTTCCCTATTAATAATCCAAATTTTAAAGAAATTTAGTTTTCCTACCGCAAATCGCAGCTGATTTTGTAGGTTTCAATTTAAATTTTATATATTAATAAAAGTTTTATGTAAAATCCATATTAATCACTTGGTTTATCAGAAGATGCTACTCTAACTTAAATTAAAGAATAGTATAGAGAATTGTCAAAAGTTTTTCATCCTGATAAATAAAGTTAAGAGAATTATAATTTAAGTGTGGAGACTTTTGAAAAAATAGATTAAGCATATAAAATTATTGGAAATGAGTTTAATAAACTAGTTTATGATAACTTTGGATTTGCTGGAGTTACATTAGTTATGGAAAATAAGTAACATTTTGAGTTGATTGAATATAAATTTCATTAAGGGAATGATGTAATTGAAGAGATTAGAGTTTAATTATTGCTAATTAAATTGGAGGAAGATGAATTAAATTCATACTCTACTTTGAAATAATTTTCATGTGAAGCTGCATTCTAAAATACATTGATATGTACCACAAATAAAATTTAATAAACTGCATTTATATCTTAAATTTTATAATTACCTCGTTGGTAATAGTTTGAATTTTCTTTGAAATCAGAAATATAATTGTTAATATATAATAAGTAAGAAATAGAATTTAGTGATAACTATTTAGTTACAGCATTAAGTTTAAATTTACCTTTAATTCATGGTTGTGGTTTAGAAATTTAATAAAAATTATCAGATTTTCAAATTGATTAAATTATATTTAAAAAAAAAATCTCTTTTGGAGAGGTTCACATAAGTGCAAAAAATCATGATGATAGCTGGTAACCTTAAATTATTGCTGCAATAGGATAGGATTAATCTTTAGTTTAAATTACTTTGCATGCTCAAGAAAAATAGTTACATTTTGATAAATAACTTACAGAGAGACTTTCACTTTAAGGATAAATTACACTAAATAATTATAGACTTTATTTATAGTATTAGGTAGCGAAAGAATAAAATTATGAATCAACATATAAATTATGTTATTATAAAAATGGAAAAAAATCTCTATTTTTATTAACAAGTGATTTTAAAGCTTAATATTCTCATATAAGATTCGATTGGTAAAGTAGTATTTCTGAAAACAATTAATTGACAGTATTATTTGCATTAAGAAAGTTTAATTCATCGATTCGTTTCCCTTTTTCATTTTAAGTTAAGAGTTTAAAATCTTTATTATTTTGGATGCTTGGACCACAAATACTTCCCTTAATTTGGAGAAAGAATTGGTTAAATCCTTGGATTGATTTACAAAAGAAAAAAAGAGCACTTTATCTAGAAAAATTAGATGAGTATTAAAAATTTAATTAAGAAACCAGATAAAATATTTCATAAGGAGATAATTACTAAAAATTCTTAAAATTCGAAACTGAATAAAAGTATGAATTTTTAGTACATATATAGTGGCCTTGTTATTACATTAGCATATGTTGGTGAATAAGGAGACATAAATTAATTTATATAGAGTAAGGTTCCAAATAAATTTTTATGTGATATCAAGGAACCTTTATAAGCAGAAATACTAGATAGTGGATTATTTATACCTTCTAAAAGTCTTGATAAATTGGATGGATTTTTCAAAATTACAAGCAAAAAGTATTTATACATCATAATTTTAAGGAATTCTTCTCATTATTGGGGATACATTGAATATATTTATAAAGGGAAAGTGGGAAGTTAAAAATGGAATTGGTCTGAACCTTTATCAATAGGAAATGTATGTAAATAAAATCAGAATTCTATTATTGAAACTATTTTGGAATTTATATATAAATGATATTATATCAATGATGTTTACTTTTATCCATCATAGAAGTACGTTTAATCTATGAATATCTTTCTTAAATCTATTAGTCTTTATGAGGATCTAAATCAAGTTATTTCAACATTTGATTATTGAAGGATTCTACTGAATCTTCAAAAATTAAGCATTGACAATCTTTGATTACAACGCATTCAGTATCTTAAGGAGGAATGTAACTAAATTTAAAAATTTATATGCTACGTATATTGAGAATAAGCTTTATTATTGATGTCCTTCAATTCTCCTCTGAATAAATATCCACCAAAAATAAAATCACATTTTTAATTTGCAGTAAACTTTTTTAATTTACTTTTAGTTCTAAAGAAATCTAATAATCTCTTAATTTCTAAATGAGCTAAAGGTCCAGCTTAATCTTCAAACATCTTTCTTAAATATTCTAAAATTAATTAGTATTATTACCAACTGAATTGATATAAATCTTAAATTCGAAATCTGGATTTTTGTTAATTAAATCTTTTAGAATTTTAAGATTTAATGAATAAAGCAATGAATCAGCTGTAGTTTTAGCAGTACTCATACAGGTGCCATCTCCTATAAGATTAGTATATGTAATTAATGATCCTAAGCCTTTCTTTATTGAACCTCCTGGGAATTCATCTACAACATTACCTTTACTTACAATATAAATATTCTAACATGTCATTCCTTATTCATATATAATTTCATCTGGTCCAAACTTTTTTTCATAAGCGCTTTTAATTATATTATCTAAATCAGTAGATACTAAGCCTGAAAATATAGGAAATTCCATAGCTAATACATGGAAAGATGGTAAAGTCATATCAAATTAATGATTTTCCAAATCTACTAATCTAGTATTGATTTCTTTTTTAAGTAATTAATATTCTTTATCATCAACTAATCCGTTTTATTATGTATCATCAAGATAATGTCTTTAATGTGTTAAAATAGAATGTGATGCTCTCTTAGTTTAAATAGCTCTAACAATTTCCGGAAATGTGTCATTTAAAATACTTAAATAACCTTCAGCTTTTTCTATTTCTTTATTAAGTTCTTCCATTACAACTCTAACAGCATCTTTACCCATAGGGAAACTTCCAGTTAAATGCAATGCTTCACTAGCACAAGATAAAAATGTTGTTGTAACATCATAAACAAATCCTAGATGTTTAATCATATAATCTCTTGCAAATGGTCCTATTAATGGCAATTCTTTAACTTTAAAGAAAAAGTTCACACTACTAAAATTTAAGAAATTCTTATATAATTAATCCCAAATATTTAAAATTGCTTTTGTATGATCTAAACCAATATCACTTGATTCAACTAATAATCTAACTGTGTCTTCTTCGCATAATCCATATTCAAATTTATCATAATACAAACCTTTTAAAATACGATAGATTCTGTATCTAACTTCCCCAAAAACTTCTTGATCTGTTAATCCTTCATATAAATTAGATGGATTTGAAGCTATTTTATTACTACCCAACATATATTTTATTTCTGTTTCTAATCTCTCTATTTTCTCAATAAATTTAGGTTGACCTATCAATTAATTCACCTTATTCCAATCAGCCATACTATAAAATTAATCTGATTCTAATTCTCTCATTTTATCTTAAGAATTAACTATTAATTCTTCTAAGTATTTTTTATACACTTTTTTTTTAACTACAGGATTTTCAATCATTTCTAAATATTACACCAATGCCTTGCAAGTTGTACCATTAATTAAATTTGTAATTGCAGCCATTCCTGCTCCATAAAATACTGACAAATGTCTAAATCTAGCAGGTAATTCTTCATCACATCCAACCATTAATGACAATGTTAAACCTAAAGCACCTCTTAATCCACCATATACAAGAACTATGAATTCGGACTTGGAAATAGGATATCCAAAACATCTTAAGAATGGCCAAAATGTCAAAATCATAATGAATCTTGCCAAAATCATAAAAAAGTAAAACACTATCATTCTTATATAATCTGATTTATGTATAAATGTTTCTTCAATCACTTATGTACCAACAATAATTCCAACTAATAAAAATATTAAAGTATCACAAGAGTATTAAACAAAACCCCAAACAGTATGTACAGAATGTTCAACTGATGATCTTATTCTTGTTTTTCCAAATGCACTCCAAAATAATCCTAAACCTACAACAGCAAGTAAACCACTTGTTTTGAAAAAGCAAAACTCTGCCCAATAAAATGTTAAATATGTGAATACAAATGTCAACCATGTTACTTCTATATCATCTCCTAAAATTCTCTTAGTCCATAAAGCAGCTAATATTCCTAATACTAATCCTAATCCTGGTCCAACTAATGAATTTCTAACAAAATTTAGAACAACTTAACCAGCTGTAACAGCTTCACCTTTTCCACTTGCTGCTTTTGAAAATTTGTTAAAAAATATAAAAAATACCATTGCTACACCATCATTTAATAAAGCTTCTCTAAATTAATAAAATGTTATTAATACCCTTCTATTAAATGATTGAATGCTAAACTTGCTCCTAATTCCTTTAATAAAGCAACCACTGCCACAGGATCTGTAGCTGATAAAACAGAACCAAGAGTAAATGCTTAATACCATGTCATATCATTATCATCATATTGTAACACCATTTTAAATACACCTCCTAAAAGTATTGCACCCTATTATTCAAATATTAAATACCCAACCACAACCAGGACCTGCTAATAATAAAATATTGACCATCTGATATTTGAAAGTATACCAATCACAATTAAATGCTGACTCAAATAACAATACAGGAACAAACACAAACACTATTAAGTGAGGATGCATTTTTGACAAGATACTTGCACTCTCACCAACATATCCCAAACTTTACTAAAGTAATCCCAATAATATTCCTAATGATAAAATCATAGGAGAGTATGGAAATCTAACCATATATATATCACTTTCATTACTTTGTTTTCTTATTGATCTCTCTCAATATTAATCCTGAAACTATTCCCAACGTAAGAAAATAAACAATATTTGCAGATTTCTCCATTTCATGCTCATCTCTCCATAATGAATCTTTTGGGGCTTCTAACTCTTCTTCATGACCCTCAAATTCATGTTCATGCTCTGCCATTTGAATAATTAATTTATTGTATAATTTACAGATATTGCTAAAATTTAAAATTATGCATGTATCTCATACAATTCTTAACGTAACATGACGTTAGCTCACTATTAAACTATGAAACCTTAAGTTTTGCAATTTAATTACATCAAAACTTGGATTATCAATTTAACGTCATTCCCATTCTTATGTTTGTTGATTCTTATCGAGGTTTCATGTAATTCATTAAATTAATCTAAATAATTAAATACAAGAAAATTAAATAAGAACTTTATAATTCTAAAATTTGAGATTCTCCCTTCTTTATCAAGAGTGAATGTGTGTATATTTCATAAATTTGACATGATTATTGCTAAATCATAATTTCAAAACCATTACTGCAATTCATATAATTTTTAATCTAAATGTGTGAAAATGAAAATTAAAATTAAAACTAAGAAAAAAATAAATTCATTCTAACAATCTAACAACAAAAAGATTAAGAATTGAAATTTTTAATTTAGAATCATCAAATTGCTTTGTTATATATTTTCAATTTATATCAATTGCTTGCGCAAATATTTCATTTTTACTTTATAGATGTGCATCAATAAATGGTAATTACATACTTATAATTAGTTATTTCACAATCATGATAAAAAAATGAAAATACAATAAATTAGAGTTTAAAAAATTAGAATAAGAGAAAAAATGATTAATTGAGATGTAAAGATAAATTTTTTACCAGCTTAATATATATGAATCATCCTTTTTTTTAATCTGGGTAATTTAAATTATGGAGCAGCATTTGTATTTTGAAATTTTATTAGCATTAAAAATTATAGTCAATATATTTAATGATTTTAAATGCAAAGCAAGTTTTGAAATGAAAAAATTATTAATGCACTATTGATTACTAATAATATTCTCATTATAGTTTTATAAAAATAATCTTAATTTTTGAAGTTTTGAACTATTTTTGTGCTGAAATAAAATATTTTCCAAATTTAAACTTTCATTGTTAATGTATCAATTAGATAATATTTGTGTTCTACAATGGTAAAGCATTAAAATTGTCTTTCTTTTATAAGTTACATTAATTAGTGAGGAGTATAATTAATTACTCAATATTTGTAATAATCCGTTTTGAATGCATAACAATTATATTTATTAAACAAAATGAGAATGCATGCTCTGTTTATGCTGTTGATGTACGCAGCAGCATTGAATTTCGAGGCATCATTGATGTCCCATACATTAGCAGAAGTAGATGCTTTAGATACTTCTTAATTGAATTGCCAAACTCCTCGATCACATTTCGATGAGTTGGAGTAAACCTTAAGTCAATGGTAGAATGTTTTGGAGAAAAAAGATCGTATTCCTTCACATATTGAAACATTAACTGAAATGAAACACTTAATAAAACACAAGAAGTATTAGAAGCTGGTAGATAAGATCAAAGATTTGGATCTCATATCTCCACCAGTGCTTTCTGAATTATAAAACAAATTATAAGGATTGCAATCTCATGGTAATAAGTTTTATTAAATATTAAGATAAACATGAAAGAGAAGAATGTACAGAAACTTTAACAAAATTATGTGCTTATTTAATAAAATAAATGAATAATGTTCACTAATAATGTTAGCAATCACCAGTTACAGTGATAAAAGTGAAAGGAAAGATAGAAGATTTAAAGATTATTTAATCTGGATGTTAATAAGCATGCCAACCAACATGTCCAGATGAACCTGTGCCTGAAATTCCATCAGAATTACCAAGTGAACCAAGTGAAGAATTTACAGAAGAGCCAGTAGAAGAGACTGATGTTCCAACAACTCCAGAAGATAAACCAAGTCCAGAAGAAGATTAGCCATAATCAGAAGAAGATTAACCAACAACACCAGAAGAAGATTAATCAACACCAGAAGTACCATCTGAAGAAGAAGGTCCAACAGATGAACCACCAGTTAATCCAAATGCAGAAGAGTCACCAGAAGAACCAACAATAACAGAAGATGGAACAGAAGAATGGACTATACCAGGAGAAGAATCAGAACCAATAGTTCCAACTACCGAAGAAGATGAAGAATAACCTTCTCCACCTGTATAACCAGATGATGAAGAAACTCCAGAATAAGACGATGAAGAATCTCCTTTTGAAGAAACTCCAGATTAACCATAACCACCAACACCAGAAGAAGGAGAAGAATTCTATTCTGAAGAACATCCTGTTGAACCACCTTAACCACCTGTTGATTTACCTGAAGAAGGAGAAGAATTTACTTTTGAAGAAACACCTGTTGAACCACCTTAACCTACACCATTTGATGTTCCTGAAGAAGGAGAAGAATTCTTTTATGAAGAAGAATCTGATGAACCATCACATCCTACAATACCTGTATTACCAGAAGAAGAAGGAGAAGAAGCCACTTTTGAAGAATAACCACCTGTTCCTGTTGATGAAGATGATGAAGAATCTCCATTAGTATGTCATTCTTCGGAATCTACAGAATATGTTGAATTAGCAGCTACTTAAGTTGAACCAGGATTTACTAGTACTCTTACCATATCAGGTTAATATGGATTTGGTTTATACTTCTAAAAATTATAAAAATATCCTGCTTTTACAGATGCTGAAGAATTCCATTTAGCCAGTTTATAAGATAATGGTAATACTGTATTAGGTGTGTTTGTTACTAAAACCGGAGTTAAATGTGTTACTGCTGATGGATCAACATAATAATCTACATCTGTTTAAAATGATGATTTTGAAGGAGATTGGAGTTTTGTATTTATTAGTCATGGTAAAGGTGTTACTGGATGTGGAGTAAAATTCTTTGAAGAATAACCAGCTTTGAGAGAAACTCCAGCTTCTCATGAAAGTTTCACATCTTTAGAATTCATTATTGGTGGTGAATAAGATTCTCATCCATCATTCTAAGGTAAAGTTTATGGACATTTTGCTGTCTCTGCACCAAATCTTCATTTCAAAGATGAAAAAACATATAAATAAATTGTTGATTCATGCAATAATCCTCCAGAAGAACTTTGTGAATTAGATACACATGTTTTAGGTGATTTCGAATTTTCTGGATTTGATGATAGTTCTGAAGAAAGATATGATTTCTCTTCTTGGGATGCTGGTTATTCAGTTTCTGGTTGGTTCAAATGGGAATCTTTAGAAGATTAAGATGTTTGGCACACTGTTTTCAGATTATCAGAAAATACTGATGCTGATTTAGATGATATTTAATTAGGAGATAGAGATCTAGCTCTTTATCTTGGTAATGAATTAGTTGGCAACAGATATTAAGTTACTACCTATACATATTCAGGATCTGGTAATCCTAATTTGTGGGATTCAGTTGAATATGGATCATCATTAGGTTAATGGCATTATGTTTACTTTGGTTACAGCAGAAGAACTAAATATGCTAATTATTTGATTTATTTATCAGATTCAGAAATGCCTTCTAATTAAATTCATGATGTTCGTCATTATCTTGTTCCTTAAAGAAGACTTTACATTGGTAATGATGGTTTATATCCTGCTTTCAATGGTTAATTCTATAATTGGAGAGTTAATCTTTGTATTGGAGATGTTGATATTGATGTAGTAAATCCACCAAAAGATATTATCTTTGGTTATAATCCTTAACCTCCAACTGATACTCCTAATGATCCAATCGAATTCTCTGAAGAATAACCAGTTTGGCCAGAAGAAGAGGAATAATTTACTCCAGTTGAACCAGAAGAGATTCCTGAAGATTTCTCTGAAGAAGAATCAGTTTGGCCAGAAGAAGAATTTACTCCTACTTAACCAGAAGATATTCCTTCAGAAGAATCAGTTGAACCAGAAGAAGAAGAATCATTCGTTCCACCTCCTCCTCCTCCTGAACCTGAACCTCCTGTTATTCCTGATGAAATAAAACCAGAACCATTACCTGAACCAGAACCTTAACCTGAACCTGTTCCAGCACCTAAACCAGCTCCTCCTCCTTCTGAACCTTAAGTTCCTGTTGTCAAAGAGTATCTTATCATTTATTAATATTTATAGATGTGAGGCAACTATTGATGTCACTAAAGAAAATGCTGCTGATATTTTATGTGCTATTTCAGAGTATTTAGCTTAATTAGCTTCTGGCCATGTTCCAGAATTAGGTATCAATCCATCAAGAGTATGTTTCTGTTTACAATATGATGATAGTAATTTTTATATTTATAAACAATTAGGTGAATCCAATGAATCTTTCATGTAAGTAGAAGCCATTCTAAAAGAAAATGATGCATTTACTATCAATAAATTAGTTGCCTAAAGAAGAATTTGATTTAAAATAAAAAAATATCATTCAATTTATTATCAACATTATTTTAATTATTACATACAATTATATTTCTAAATTATAATATGATTTTTCAAGTTATATTTTTTAGAATTCCAATCAAATTTAACTTAATTCAAAATCTATTTTACAAATTATTTTATTCATAATATAACAAGAGGTATATTTAAATTAAAAGATTATTTTATTAAAATAAATTAATTCTTGATCTTAGAAATTATTTTTAAAATGAATAATTGATTATAATGTTTTGATGAATTTTTTAATTTTGAAATTTCAAAAATAATTAAGAAAGATAAAATAAAAAATAATATAAAAAGATAGCTTTTTATTTTAAAAATATAGATATATTTATCATTGTTCGTTAGAATTACATAATTCATTAAGGTTATTTACTACATATTTGCTTAGATAGTTAATTAATTCTTGTTTGGTACAATAAAAATCGCTTTCACAATAAGAAGCATTAATAAATTATTTATTATAGTAGATATATACTCTTTACCCTTAAATAACAAGTTCAAGTTAAGAAGCAAATGGAGTTAAATATTATTAATCAGTCAAGACTGAAAGAATTGCCATTTAATTAGTTTCAGTTCCTGAATAAACACTTAAAGATTAATTTGAATCAAGTTATTAAATGATCCATCTGAAAGGTTCTGATACTCCAGCATAATGTTATAAAGGTTCAGAGTTGGCTCCAAAATATTTTAAGAATTGTTCCACTTCATTCAAATAATTTTGGGTATCTTAATCTGGATCAGGAAAATTAAATCCTTCAAAACTATTACAAAAGTAATCATCATAAAATTCATCAACATCATTAAGATTTAACTTACTCTTATCAATCACTGTGCTTGGATTTGCTTCTTAAATCCAATAATATACTTTATTGAATTCTTCTCTACTTAGAAGTTCTTTTTCTTTTTTTTTATATTAAGTTGATGATTAAACTGCTTTATTAACAGTTTAAACGTTTGGGCAAGTATTCTTCTTTTGGCCTTGAAACATAAAATCTAAGGGTTTATCAAATGCTTCAAAATTTAATTCAAGAGGATCTTCAAAATTAGAATTCATAATTTCTTCAAATGCTGTTTAATTAGTCACATAAGGTTGATACTATTCTTAAAATAATCTATGCAATATATCTGCATAATTTTAAGGACATAATCCCTTTATAAAACAAACTAGTGATGATGTACATCTTGCTGATTTAGAAGATTAGAGTTCCAATTATTCATAAATACAATTTCCAAAAGAATCAAATATATCTAACCTTTATTAGTTGATTCCAAGTTAAACTAATTACTTAACCCCTTTTTCTGTCAAAATGGTTGGATCCACAATCCATAAAAAGTTTCTATCTATTTCAGTCCATGTATGAGGATCACGAGCACCATGACGCATTATCAAAATAGATTAGAAAGCCATAGCAGTTGAAATCACAAGACTAAGAATGTGAATCATAATGATGTCACGTATTTTTAATTAATTAATAAAGCAATATAAATTTTATCTTCCCTATATTTTAAAGAATCCAATTAATTTATATTTTTATTGATTCAAATAAATAAATATAGAATAATGATAATTAAATCAAATTTTGGATGATAAATATTTATACAATTTATATGTATGTGTATATACAAATTTTTAAAATAATATTAATTTTAATTTTATCATTTAAAAAATATTCAATTTTTAAACTGATATTTTTTGATAAAGAATTAAAGGTTCTTATTAGATTTATTTCATTTACTGTGTGCAGTATAAAATTTCAAAATAAATCTCAAATTTAAAATCCCTTTTAATTTCAAGTGTTTGTTTTTTCTAAATTATATGCTAAATAAAGTAAAACTATGGGAATATTAAAAAAGCTATAAATTAATTTTAAATTCTATTTTGTTATAAATCTGATATTGAATAATATTAATTTGTATTTGTTCTTATTTAAGAAAAATAATGAACAAGGAAGTTATCTAAAATTTGAAGAATAATTATTAAAATAAACGAACATTAATAAATTAGTCTTGAATATTGTCAATTATCAAATGATGATAATAAGTATTCGTTTTTTGTTTCAAATCTGGAATAATCTAAAATGATTAAACATATTGAAAACCTAATTTACATGATGCAATATTAATTTAATGAAGGGAAATTTATTTCATGTAGAAATCAGCTCATAAAGACAGTAATACAAATCTTGCTTAATTTGTTTCAAAGATTTTAGTGTAATGACTAAGGAACATTAATGCAAAAGGTATGAAATGTGTCTATAAACTTAAGATGTAAACGAGCGGTATGTGACAAATGTGCTTAAAATAAAATGATTATATTGGGTTATTCAAAAAGCAAAGATCCTCATAGAGTTTGTAATATTTGCAAATCTGAGTCTGATATGCTTAAATAATTTATTCGAACTAATATGATTTAGTTTAATAAGGATTCTTTAGGATTAGAATGGCTTAAAAATCTTGGAGTTGATGTGAGATAGATTAAAGAATAATACAAAGTATAAGAGTAAAAAGACCCCTTAGAATATAATTAGTTTATAAATTAGTTGGATTTAATTTATGATGAGATTGATAGAAAAATGAATTATTCAATAAGAGACTTTATTAGTTTAGTAGTTTAAATAGAAAAAGGTTTAGTTTTAGGTTCTATTAGAAATGTGCTTGGAACCTTCCTCAGAAATCATCCTGAAGTAGGCTTTCATCCTTGTATGATTTTTACAACTTTAATCTTATTATGTTTAAGTTCAGAAGCCACATCTTATGGTTTACTTAAAGTTATTTATACACGATTAATTCCTTAAGCAATGCATTTTAGAAACTTAAGACTTGGTTATGACTTTAAATCTGAGCTTGGTGTGATGATTAAAACATTCCATAATTTAAAAATTCCAACTGAACCTATTAAACCATTTCTATAAGAAGTAGGACCTTATATTGTATCATTAACAATAAATGCATTTGAAATATAAACATCTTTATTTATGTTCTCTTAACTATTCTAAGAAGATGGATTTAATGAATTTATAAAAGTACTAACTTGTGCTTTTAGTGCACATTAATTCAAAGAAACACCAGAAAAAAATAAATTATTTATTCTTTGGAATGTCAAAGAATAATAGTTTCAAAAATATTATAATGAAACTAAAAAATAAAGAAGTGATTCCAATAGCAGTGTAAGATCTATAAGTTAATCAGAGTAACAATAATAATAAGAAAATAAAATGAAATAATAAATCAATTTAATTTAATAAGAAAATACAAATTTAAAATAAGAAATGGCTGTAGATAAAATTAAGATTTCCAAATAAAAAATAGAAATTGATTAATTAAGTGATTAAATATAAAATATATAGAATGAATTCAAAACTTTAAAACTTTAATATGAAAAACTTGAAACAGAAAACTCTAATCTATTAGAATCAAATCATAATCTTAAATTATAATTTATGAAATAAGAAAAAGCAAATGAATCTTCATCATTTACTTTATCAACGAAAAGTGATTCAACACAATTAGAAAATGAACTTTTAAAATGCAAATAAGAAATTGAAGTTTTAAAACTCTAAAACTCAAATCCTACTTAAATGGCATAATTAGTTAAATTAAAGAATGATTAAATTGCTAAATTAACTTTAGAAAAATCTGAATTAGAAAAAAGGATTGAAGCACTTGAAGAACCTAAAATTTCAAAACGAACATCTTCAGTTGCTTAAATTAGTAGTGTAATAAAAGATTTAGAAGAAGGAAAAAATCTTTTAGAAAAAAAAAATTAAGAAATCTTAAATTTAAAAAAATAAATATAAGAATTATAATAATAAAAAAAATAAGATTAATTAACGATTTCATCATAAAATTTATTTGAAAACTCTCAAATAAATTCTAAAATTGAGAATTAAGATGATGTATCAGATGATCTTCAATTATTAATTTAAGATTAAGATCCTGCAAAAAAAGTAGCAGCTAGAAATATTAAATAATTAATAAGCAAACTAAATGAAGATTTAATTTATTATATGACTTAAGCAAAAATCAAGAAAGAATAGGTCGAACCTTTTCGTTAAAAAAGTGAATCCTTATAAAAACAATTAGATTATTTAGTTGAATAAAATAAAGAATTACAAATAGAAATAGAACATAAATAAGATTTGATTTAAGAACTTGAAAAAAAGAGAGTCAAACAAAATATTGAACCAAGACCATAAGTAGTTTAAGATGATAAAAGAATCTTAAGTGAAAATAAATAAAGTTGTGCTGCAAACGCAGATTGTAAGATTTTCTGAATCACATAAATAACAAATTAAATCATTTATATTATTTAAGTTTTGAATTTAATAGCTTAATGTTCTTGTTTAATTCTGATTACAATTCAAATAATTAGTCTTAAGTAGATTGTCTACTAGCTCTGCTTTCTTTTCCGTAATCAATAAATGATGTATTTTAAGAAATAGCAACATTTTCTTTATTTGAAGTTCTAGTTAATTGAATTAATTTATCCTGCTATTCAATAATTTTCATTTCATATTCTGCTTTCTACTTTAATATTTGACTTTAAACGGATCTCTTATAATATTCTAACTCTTATTAGAATGATTTATTTTGTGAAATTAGTTTTAAGTTTTCTTAATTTAAAGGCGCAATTCTTTATTCTATTTATTTCAAATATTCATTTCGATCATCAATTTAATAATATGTTTCTCTTAATTATTATTCTAATCTTTCTATATATGCTTCACATTTATAATTTTGATCATCCTTAGACTAAGTTAAAATTAAACCTTAATTCTTAATTCATGCTCTTAAAACTCTAATTTTCTATATAATTAAGCTATTTCATCACTCATATGTTCAATTTATTTTTCTTACAACTCTAATTTTGAAATTTTTTCAGTATCCTTAGAAACTATTTATTGTTCAGCAGCTAATAATTTTTATTTCAATTCCTCTATAGTTTTATTTGCTAATTCTAACTAGTATTCCATCAGTTAATTTTAATTTTTTGTAATAAAAATAATTTTTGTATTAGTTATAATAGTATTCTAATAATCCAATTTACTATTTGAAACCAGTTATTTATAGAAATTGAAAAGAATAAATATTTTTCAGAATGATACTTCAAATAATAAATTAAAAAGTAATAATTAATTTAAAGTATTTATTGATTTGCATTTAAAATGCTTTCTACAGAAGACTTCAATCAATTATATAAAGAAATAGACAGTGATTACGGCACAAAATTTAAAAAGCGGATACAAGTTTAAAAAGTAGAAAAAGATGGATAAGAATTTATTGCATTTGATTTAAAATAATTAAAGTTAGATAAGCTGAGAGAAAAAAAATTAAGAAGAATGAAATACATTGGTCTCAAACAACCAGAATTATGTATTATAAATGAGGGCTAGTAAATTTTAATATTTAAAGACATATTAAATTATTAATTATCTAAAGAAAAGTTAATAGAATATGGAAAATATTTATAAAGAATTTTAATATAAATAGTTCTAGGTATATTAATTATTATTAAATAAAGCATATAATGAATTTGAAAATAGAAATTTAGAGTGGCAAATAAGCGAATTAAATTAAATATATTTTTTCAAAGGTATTGTATTATTTTTAATTGTTGACTATGTATAAAATAAAAACAAAAATCATAGAGAACAACTCTTTTAGAATTTAAGTAAATGTTCTTTATATTTTAAGTCTTATAAAATTTCAAAAATTAGATCCCTAATCGTAATGTTATGTTAAATTAATAAAACAATGATAAATTTTAATAGTTAATTGATTACTTATTTAATTAACAAAATATTCCCTCAGGATAATTTGGAGTTGAAGCTTCTTATGAATAAATAATCAAATGGTTATTTAATATTCCAAATAATGCTAAAGTGCTTTATTATAATGCCTTTTGTATTATAAAATAGTTTTAAACACCAGAGGAGATAAAAGAAATATTACCAAATTCAACTTTATAGATGATTTTTAAATAAAAAAAGAATTATTTCAAGTTTAAGTTTTATAATGAAATAATTTAAAATATTGATAGAGAAATTAAAATAATGGAAAAAAATATTGAATATAAATAATTAGCATATTGTTCTTGCTATTTTAGAATTTATGATAAAGCATTTATATTTATGAAACTCTATAAATATACCCTTAGTGATATTTTCAAATTTTGGAAGGATAACAAACCAAAATTTTACAAAAGAAAGGTTTATCACTTATGTGACAGCTTTTCTACTGCCATATTTGAATTAGAGATGTCACATTTAATTCATAGGGATTTGAAACCATCAAATTTATTTTTATAAGATTGGAATGAGGATGATCCTGATTTGTTGAATAAATTTTAAATTATTATTGGAGATTTTGATAGATCTAAAGAACTTGACTTAGAATAATAAAAATTTATTCAGGATTATGATAGAACTCAAAAATTTATTTAAAATAAAAATATAGAAATGACTGAATTTAATAGAGAAAACACTTAATAATATGATCCACCAGAAACAGTAGCCACTGAAAAATATGATATTTGGCAATATGGTTTAATATGCTATACAATTGCTAATAAAGGTTAATTTCCAGGCTGTTATGATGGAGGCAGAGGATTAGATGATTAAGTTTATGATTCATATTATTCACTCGAAAAAATCAAGACAACATTAACACACACAGATTATGAAGAAGAATTTCTTTAGATGATTGCTAATTGTTTGAAAAAAAATCATTATGAAAGACCATCTATAGAACAGATTCATTAAACAAATATTAAATTATATCTTTAAGATTTAGAAAAAAATTCTGAAGAATCCTTTTCGAAAAATGAGTCTTAATTATAATATTTACAAAATTCACAAACAAGTAAATTAAATTAATCATATTTAAGAGTAAAAAATTAAAATTTTAAGTGAATCTTCTATCTAATAAAGTTCTTAATGAAAAAAATGTTGATAAATTAACTTTAAAATATTTAATAAGTCATCATTTTTTTCTAAGTAATGGTTTCACACTCATTTCGAAGTCACTTTCGTCATCTACTTTATGATTATTAGAAGATTAATTATCGTTATAGCCTAAAAGCTGTATATTAGAATCGTAATCTAAAATAAGCTCATCTAATTTTCTCTCAGCTTTTTATATTTTGATCTCTTCTTTCTTTCTTTTTAATTATCGATTTGATATAAAGTTTTCTGGATCTTAAGCTCCCGCTAAATATTATTCTATAAAGAGTATATATTCCTCCACATTTTCAATTCTATTAGAATGTAATAAATCTAAAAAAGCACAATTTTCAATATAAAATTAGAACCACTTACTACAAATTTCATTACTAAATAAAGTTTTAAAATCTTTAAGTATGTAACTTGATTATTGTCCTTTACTTTTTTTAATTAAAAACTAATCCAAACATTAAGGAATTTCTGATTTATTTATTTAACCCTTATCTTCTAATATTATATTATCCATGAACTTCTTAAAATTGTTTCCAAATGTTTTTGGGATATTTTTTGTATTAGCTTCATTAAGCATTAAAGTTTAAAATCTTTAAATCGTAACTTAAGGTTTTTCCTATTTAAATTCTGTTCTATAATGTGTAATATTATTATTCATGATATTTGAATATTCTTCGTACTATTCATTAAATTCTATGTGGTTGAAGTTCTATTCTTCATCTGATTAACTCATAGATTTACCTTGATATTTTATTTATTAATCTAAATATACAAATTTTTAGGTGACAATTAAAATATATATTATTAAACTCTATCATTATTTTTAATTGATTAATTTTTTATTTCAGCTTTTTTCTTATTTCAAATATATAGTCTATCAATTCAAATATTTATTTCTGATAAAGACTTAGATTCTCTAAAAAGGATAACTAGTAAACAGTAAAATTATTAAAATTATAACTTTTAAATTACATGAAGAATTCATAAAAGTAATCCTTAACTATTAATTTTTCACTTTATCAATTTGATTTAATAGAAATAATAAGTATATAAATTTATATATTTTATATTATTTTATATTTCCTTTATTTTCTATTAGTAATTATAATAATTTTATTTTATTTATAATTGAAGAAAATAATTTAAACAAATGCATATAAGTTAAAAAGGTAAGCCAAATAAATATATAATATAAAGATCATTATCTCTTATATTTTAATTTAATTCAATTATTCATTAATTTGATTCAGAAATACAATCCATAATTAATTTCAACTTGCATCTGGATAAATTTATGATAACATAAAATTTAACTTCTCATATAAAGTTTGTATTTTATTTAAACTTGAAAAATTTGATTCTTTTTTCAATGTTACAAGTCACTCAAAAATAAATGATTTTTACATTTAAATAACGATAACTTTGACATAAATAAGAAATAAAATTGAATTAATCACTTTAATAAATTGAATTTTCAACTAAAGATGCTTATAAGTTTATTAAATAAAGTAATAAAAAATATTGAAAGAATTAGATAAGATAATATAATATTAGATAACATAATTTCATTACAAAAATTGAATTTAATAGTTTACTAATTCAATATGTTATTTGAGCCTTGAAATGTCTTGCTAGAAGAACCTGAGAAAATAAAAAATAATAATTTGATACTTATTTTATTCATTAAAATATTGTTCAATTGTATTAATATTTAACTGTTGAGTGGTTTTGATTTATTGTAAATTAGATTTGAAAGTTTATGATTAAAGCAATACTTATTTCTTAATTTAAGTCTATTCAATTTTCAAAGATTGCAATTTAAATTTTATCTAGTTAGATTAGAGATTTAAAATTTACAGATTTTAGAGATTGCTTGAGTTTGATTTCTTTAGGAGTTGGTTAGTTAAAAGACTTGAATTTTGTTGTGCCAAGGGATTTGCCATGAATAATAAATTAAAGAGGAGGCTAAGGGGATGATTAGTATAAATGCTGTTTTCTTGATAAAGCAGCTGATTCATTTCTGATGATAAACATTTATCGATTGCAATTTTTAGATGTTTATGTTTTCATTATTAATAATTAAATTGTTTGTCTAATTAGGACATTAGTAAACTTAAATTAAGAAAAAATTAATTTCTAAACTCTTAAGTTTAGAAGAGAAAGTCTTGTAAATCATATGACATCATACTGAAAGTAAATTTTAATTAAAATTGATATATAAAATCAACAAGTCAAATATAAATTATTATATATATTCCCAATTAAATTTTAATTTGATATAGCCTGAAAATTACAGATGAGAAACAAATAATATAAAATAATTTTAGTTTAATATAAATATCTATAGAATATCCTACTTAATTGATGAATAAAATATCTACATATATTAAAAATTAATATTAATAAGTTCTATAAATAATAAAATGCATAAAATGTAATTTATTTATAGATTATATAATAATGTATATAAAAATATGTAAAAATATAGATACATAAAGATAATTAAGATTGAGTAATTAAAAACTAGTTTATAAATTGAGACATGTAATTAAATGAATAATTTGTTTTATTATACAATCAAATTTTGTTGGATTCTTTTTCAATGATTTTATCTGAAGCACTCATCAATTGAATAAAGTTGATATACTAATTAATAATATTAAAATAGTTTACATGTTTTAAACATAAGAATGGAACTGAAACGTACATGAGTAGTTAAATGACAATCCAATCATAGAAAACATTCAAATATAAAGTAACCATAGCTGTCTTGAGTTATTAATAAGAATAATAATTACTTCGCTTAATAAAACCATAACAAATAACATATATGGAACTTTGTAATAAATTTCTAAGATTTTATATTTGGAGACAGCTGTTTTATGATGTTTTTCATTGCAATATAAAGTAGAGTACATTTGATACCAATGACTACATAAATCCAAAGCTAATGCCCACAAGAATAAAAATCCAATAGTTGGATATAATTTGTAGAGTACTGCCAAGATACAAGCATTAGAGAATCTATCTGTTACCTAAAGATATTAAAGATATAAAATACCATATCTAATACACTACCAAAAACACTGCATTATTTAAATCTTCTAGCAGCCATTCCATCAAAAAGATCTCCTAATTAACTCACAGAATAAGCTATGGCTGATATTAAGGGATCAAAACTTCCTGTGTAACAAAACACAAGAGCACATACAACTCTTGCATATCCAATCAGATTTGGAATATAAAAGTATACAGACATAAATTAATAATTTATTTATCATTTTATGAACACTAACACTCTCATTAAATCATCTGCATCAAATCCACAACTATCAAATGTTCTTAATTTACTATTCCCATTTCTTCCTTATGTTAATATCAATTTTTAATCCACTGAATAAAATTCTTCAAAACTCATATCCTTCACTAACTCTGTTCCAACTTTACCTATAACATAAATTTTATCGCCTTTAAATGATTTAGTTGGTTCATTAGGTAATAATTCATATTCCTCAACTTCTGTTAATAAATTCTTTGTAACTTTTATAGCAGGTATTCTTAAATCAGCCATTGCTTCATTTATAGATATACATATTGCTTCTAAATAAGCGATATCTATTTAGCATAATAAAAACACTTCTACCACTAATACCCATCCTTTTTAACCAACTTTCAATTCACTCATATCTGTTTTATAAAGTGATTCCAATAATTCTTACATATATTATACTTTTTGTTTTTCATCATTTGTTCTCTTCATTGAACTAATATTTATTTTTATTGAAGATTATTCACTCAACTCTAACTTTATTCCACTATAAATTGTAATTTCCCCTTCATATTTGCATGAACCACTTGTGCATATTAGATGAGATCTCTTCAATTTTACATCTCTTAATTCATTATTTTTTCGTCCGTCACTCCTAATATTTACTGCAATTCCTCCTTTAATGAATTCTATTTATCCTGTGCTTAACATTTAATTTTTTTCACTAGTTAATTTAATTTTTTATAAAATTGATTCTAATATTCAAATTATCACTAGTTTAACATTTTCTTTTATTTTATCCCATCCAATAAATATACATTTCTAATTCATTTTTTTCAAATCATTTTAAATTATTCATTAAATTTAATTCAATTTGTTTTAATTTAAATATATCCCTAAAGCAATAAAATTCTAATTTCTTATGCATTTGCAATTAAAAATATCAGAATTTAATTTTCTATATTTTGATTTAATATTAGATTAAATAAGCTTCTAATAAAAACAATACAAATTTTTAATATTTTAGTTAAAATTCACAAAATATAATAAAATATTAGTCCTAAATATTATTTTTTTTGATTCTAATTTAATTGTATTCTAAATCCATTAAATATGCTGTTGTAGCTTAGTTGGCAGAGCGCCTGGCTGTTAACCAGGAGATCGTAGGTTCAAATCCTACCAGTAGCGTATTTTTTTTTAATTTATTTAAAATTAGATTATTTTTATGATGAATTTTAAATTAATAAGTAATGAATTAGATCTATTCTTTTTAATAAACAACCTTTTAAACTAATTTCATATGTAAAAGTTTTTATTAAATGATTGTAAAAAGATAAAAATTAAAGATTTATTCTCTATAAAATACTTTCTTTTAGTATAAAGATGATTATTATAAGGATAAAATAATCAGGATTAATATTAAAGTATTAAAGCTTTTCATTATTCAAGCTGATAAATTATATTTAATCTAATTTTTTTATTCCAGCCATAATATATTTAAACAATCTTTAATAATTTTTTTAGGAAATTGGAAAATTCTTGATGTCATCTTTAACCTAACAAATGGAGTTGCATCATAAATATTCATTAAAAGAATCTTTATTAAATGAAGCTAATGTTTCAGAATAAAGAGAATTATGTTTAGAAATATCGGATGTCATAGCACAAAATTAATAATTTTAAAATAAGGCAACATTAGCAATGGAAGAAAGAGCAGAGAAAGAATAATAATAATAAAAATAATTTATTTTGAAGAAAATATCTTAATTATATCTTGATAATTTAGAAGGAGCATAAAAAAAATTAAGTACAATTAATGACATATTATAGATATTTTGTATTCATTACCAACTTTGAGACCAAAATAAATAGTCTTATGGAAATTATTAATCAATCTATTAACACTATTTGTTTTTTTTGAAATTCCTGTATACATAGCATTTGGGGAAAAGTTTTGGAAAGTATAAAAATATCTATTTTAAGGAATTAGATTCTATTTAGAAAGTTGCAACATTATATTATACAATATCACTTTTATTAGTTATTGATATGGGATTAGATTTTATTACAGCATATTATAAAAATGGAATTGTGATTACTGACAGTAAAAAAATAGCTATAAATTACTTATATGGGAATTTCTTCTTTGATCTAATAGCTGTAAAATTTTATTAAATTAAAATAGTTAATAATCTCAATAGCTCGATTATCTTTATTTATATCTTAATATAGATTCATCTTTTTAATATTTTACTTTAAACTACCCTCATTTTTAATGTTTGATGATCAATTAAATGAAATGCTTTTACTTTATAGAAGAAGGAGAGTGATTTATGAGGTTGGAAAAAAAATTATATTTATGTTTTTTGCTTTTAATGTATTTTTGTGTATATTTTACATGGTTGGTTTATATTGTGTAAACTCACATTATAATTCTTGGTTAACAAATCCTGGAAATTATGGAATTATTTTGGATCGACCATACCATGAAATATATTTTTTTGGATTTTACTTTTCTTTAGGAACAATATCAACAACTATGGGTTATGGTGATATAGTAAATGATAATTTAAAATTGTTAGTCTCCTATGAATATGATAGAATTATCTTGGTGCCTGTTTGGAATTATGTTTGGACTTTTTATTTTTGCAAATAACATCAATTCATTTCAAAAAATGATGGAAGAATATAATTTAAATGATCTTAAACAATTTAAATATAAAGTGAGTATCAATACATTTATGGAATAAAAGTAAGTACCTTCTGAATTATAAGAAATAATTAGATAATATCTTAATGAATATTGGAATTAATAAGGACTTAGAGATCAGGAATAGGAAATATTAGTTTTTTAAATGTTAGCTCCAGAATTAAAATAAGAATTAATGTATTAATCATATGGATAATTTCTATAAACTACTTTTTTCTCAAAATATTTTTCTAAGGCTTTTTTAAAAGATCTTTCAGAAAAAATAACAGAAGTTAATTATTCAACTGGAAATATGATAATTGAAGCAGGTGATTCAAATGATGATCAAAGCTTTTATTTTATCTAAAGTGGAACTGTTATTATTAAATGTGGTAATTCTGATATTGTCAAAAAGAAATTGATAAAAGGAGATAGTTTTGGTGAATTTGCTTTTATAACAGGTATTAAATTTAGAATTTAAAATAAAAGGACAAGCAAGAACAGCCACAGCTTATTCATAAGAATATAGTTAATTACATAAAATATCAAGAAATGATTTTTTAGAAATATTACAACACTATCCTGACGATTATGAAATATTTTGCAATCTAAGAGATGGATTAATCTTTTCTTCACAATTTGAAACAGTTGGTTAATTTTGTTGGACTTGTCATAAATTTGATCATTATGCAAATTCATGTCCATTTACTCATTATATTCCTTAAGTTTAGCATTTAGTTGATAATGCAACTATTATAGGTACAAATTAAGAAAGAATTAAAATATAAAGATATGATAGAAAATAATGGCCAACTAGAAAGAATTAAAAAATATTAGTAAATGGTTTGAATAAATCTAAAATTCAAAAATATGCTAATGTTATGGTATTTGATAATTTTTATTGAATTAGTTGAAAACTGCAAGAAATATAAATTAATAAAAGTCATCAAATTCTCCTTTAAAGAAATAAACAAGTATACAATAAAGGGAGTAATCTTTTGGTGATTCTAAATTAAATATAATCAAATCTGAATCAATATAGGATGATTCTTTAAGATATTAAGAAGAAAATGTTTAATCCTCAGTTCAAGAATCCTAAGTTCAAGAATCCTAAGTTCAAGAATCAAAAGAAGTAGAGAGAAATAGTCTTAAAAATTTATAAACAAAACTTAATTAATATAGAGATTAACATGAATATTCAATACATTAGGGATTAGATTACTTTNAAATGTTAGCTCCAGAATTAAAATAAGAATTAATGTATTAATCATATGGATAATTTCTATAAACTACTTTTTTCTCAAAATATTTTTCTAAGGCTTTTTTAAAAGATCTTTCAGAAAAAATAACAGAAGTTAATTATTCAACTGGAAATATGATAATTGAAGCAGGTGATTCAAATGATGATCAAAGCTTTTATTTTATCTAAAGTGGAACTGTTATTATTAAATGTGGTAATTCTGATATTGTCAAAAAGAAATTGATAAAAGGAGATAGTTTTGGTGAATTTGCTTTTATAACAGGTATTAAATTTAGAATTTAAAATAAAAGGACAAGCAAGAACAGCCACAGCTTATTCATAAGAATATAGTTAATTACATAAAATATCAAGAAATGATTTTTTAGAAATATTACAACACTATCCTGACGATTATGAAATATTTTGCAATCTAAGAGATGGATTAATCTTTTCTTCACAATTTGAAACAGTTGGTTAATTTTGTTGGACTTGTCATAAATTTGATCATTATGCAAATTCATGTCCATTTACTCATTATATTCCTTAAGTTTAGCATTTAGTTGATAATGCAACTATTATAGGTACAAATTAAGAAAGAATTAAAATATAAAGATATGATAGAAAATAATGGTCAACTAGAAAGAATTAAAAAATATTATTAAATGGTTTGGATAAATCTAAAATTCAAAAATATGCTAATGTCATGGTATTTAATTATTATATTAAATAAGTTGAAAACTATGAAAAATATCAATAAGCAAAATTAAATTAATTCCAGAGAAACTTAGTAGAATAAAGATTAACAAAGTGTTTAAAATCCTGAATAAAAATTAGATTTTAATATAGGAGAATAAGTATAAAATAATTAATTTAAAAATTTATTAGTAAGCTGAAAATAGTATAGACTAAGTATAATAAACTGAATCACAAGTTTTAAAAATTTAACATAATCTTCCAAATTTAGAAAATAAGCTTAAATACTTAAGTGAACAAAAATAAAATTATATTCATTAAGGCTTAGATGAATTTGATGAACCTTGTAATTTCAAATTCTACCAAAAAAACTTTAATTATTCAAATTACAAAGTTTTCTCAAAAATCTAGGAATCAAAAATGAAGAAATAAATCAACATAAGAAAATCTAATATTGCAATAAGATTCACATCATAGCAATGATTAGTTTAATTTTGATAATTTGCTTATTAATTACGTAAAAATAATTTTATTAATTTTCAATTAATTTTTTTTTAACTTTAGACTTAAATAGTTTGTTAAAGTTAATTGTGTTTAAATTTTAGTTTTAAATTTGTTTAGAAGGTTTATTTAATTATTTATTGATTATTTTATCTATATTTTTAAATATTTTTAGTGGAGACATAAGAATACATTAATAAAAGATGATAGAGTTATTAATAATATATAAAAGGAGTTTCTGGGATTAAAAGTAAGATAAAAGGATATGAAAATTGAATTTGATAAAATTTCCAAAGTAAAAATTATCATATTGTAATATTGTATTAATTTCAAAAAAAACCTAGAAATTATATGTAATTTTTATATATTTTTTCCTTATTTTATATTCTGTGAATAATTTTATTTAATGAATGAAGATGAAATAAAGTAAATGGTTGAAAAATATAAATTGAGAAAAGAGAATTTCGATTTATATAGACCAAATAAGAAATACTATTTTGAAAATTCAGATGAATTATTTGCTAAAGCCTAACTTTAGGAATAATAAAATTTTCTAAAATCTTTTAATCATTATTAAGATTTACCTAGAGCATCTGTCAATATAATTGGGGCCAGAAGATAAAAAGAATTTGCATCAGGATATTTTTTTATCACAATTCCTGCTTCATATATAATTGGAAGAATTTTAGCAAATGAAAAATATGGGATTTATAATGCTAATCATAGAATTAGAAGAATGAGAATATATACATATCTTGGCTTTGTTTTAATTGGAATAATTTATCTACCCACTACTCCAGTTTTTACTCCCCAGAATTCAGGAATATTCTAGCCATAATTTTATGAAAAAAAAGTCTAAAGAGATCTGGATTTAAATTTAAATCTTTATTAAAATGTTGATACAATTATAAACAAAGATCAAGAACCAAGTTGGGATGATTTTTAAAGAGTATTAAAAAATGTTTAGAAAAAAACTCTTATGAATGTGAAAGTTTGAAGTTATAATAATATAATTAATTTATTAAATTACAGATCAAATCACAAATTATTCTTTGATAGTCCTAAATTTGAATATTATCTTAATAATTCACTTTTTACAATTAAATTTAGCTAATAAAATCGTAAATAGGAGATTAGATCAAGATTATTAATTTAATCTTTTAATATTTCAAGTTTTCATTATGGGTCAGAATCTAATAAAATAATTCAAAGATTAATTAAGTTTTAAAGAATTGTAAGAATAGAATTTAGAAAATGAATTATCATCCAACATATTTCTCAATATTCTCAATTATATAATAGTTGGAATATTATTGGTGTTTATTAATTCAAGTTAATAGAATGATTAAATCTTAATAAATTAATTAAATACAATCATTATCTTAATTTAAGTTATAATGGTGATGTATAAATTTTAGCAAATGAGTAAGTTACAATTGAAACTGATTAAGTTTGTTAAGGATTTAGTTAGAATTGTCAAATTCTATT